CACCTGTGATCCTGGCTACTCAGAAGGCGGAGATGGGAGGATCACTTGAACACAGGAGTTCAAGGCCACAGGGAGCTATGATCACACCACTGCACTCCAGCCTGGGCAACAGAGCAAGACCCTGCCTCCAAAAAAGAAAAAATAAAAGATGATGACGAATAAAGTGGAGGCATAAACAGGGTGAAGTGAGAGTGATGGAACCCCCTCTGACAGGGTGGCCAGGAAAGGGTGGCCTGATGAGATGATCTTTGAGCTGAAAGCTGAATGACAAGTAGGTGGCAGGAAGAAAGGGTGAAGACTGGGAATGGTGAGGTGTCTGTGGCCTGGTGGTTTGGCCTCGACTAGGAAAGAGGATTTTTTTTTTTTTTTTTTTTTTTTTTTACACAGAGTCTTGCTCTGTCACCCAGGCTGGAGTGCAGTAGCACGATCTTGGCCCACTGCTACCTCCATCTCCCAGGCTCAAGCAATTCTCCTGCCTCAGCCTCCCGAGTAACTGGGATTACAGGCTTTTGCCATCACGCCCAGCTAATTTTTGTATTTATAGTAGAGATGGGGGTTTCACCATGTTGGCCAGGTTGGCCTCGAACTCCTAACCTCAGATGATCTGCCCACCTCTGCCTCCCAAAGTGCTGGGATGACAGCTGTGACCCACCGCACCCGGCCGGAAGGGGGCCTCTTCAGCCTCTGAGAGCAGAAGATGGAAGGGAAGGTTGTAGAGTCTGTTGAGAAGTTTGTAGGTGGATGAGGGTGAGAAAGGCGGGGCCTGACAGCCCCAGTTCAGGCTGAAGTTGCACCCACAAGTCCTCAAGAGAGGGAGACATGAACGACTCATGGACTCACTCAGTCGCCCAGCCTTGCTTCAGGGTCAGCTCCAGCTGTCAGTGCTCAGAGACAACCAGACCCTCAGCCAACAAGGGAGGGGTCTCATGGAGTATGTGCTTTCAGTGGCTAAATTGTATGACGTGTGGGCAATTTGACGATTTTTTTTTTTTTTTTTTTTTTTTTTTTGAGACGGAGTCTCGCTCTGTCACCCAGGCTGGAGTGCAGTGGCCGGATCTCAGCTCACTGCAAGCTCCTCCTCTCGGGTTCACGGCATTCTCCTGCCTCAGCCTCCTGAGTAGCTGGGACTACAGGCACCCGCCACTTCGCCCGGCTAGTTTTTTGTATTTTTAGTAGAGATGGGGTTTCACCGTGTTAGCCAGGATGGTCTCGATCTCCTGACCTCATGATCCGCCCGTCTCGGCCTCCCAAAGTGCTGGGATTACAGGCTTGAGCCACCGCGCCCGGCCGATTCGACAATTTTTAATACGTTCACAGAATTGTAACACCCATCACTACCATTCATTTTCAAACAATTTGATCACTCTAACAAGAAATTTGCACTCCTTAGCCATCACTCCCTGTTTCATGGTTTTATTTTCGTATTTATTTATTGAAATGGGGTCTTGATCTGTTGCCCAGACTATAGAGTGCAGTGGCACAATCTTGGCTCACTGCAGCCTCAACTTCCTGAGGTCAAGTGATCTTCTCACTTCAGCCTCCCAAGTAGCTGAGACTACAGGCGTGCACCACCATGCCTGGCTAATTAAAACAAACAAACAGGCCGGGCGCGGTGGCTCAAGCCTGTAATCCCAGCACTTTGGGAGGCCGAGACGGGCGGATCACGAGGTCGGGAGATCGAGACCATCCTGGCTAACACGGTGAAACCCCGTCTCTACTAAAAAAATACAAAAAACTAGCCGGGCGCGGTGGCGGGCGCCTGTAGTCCCAGCTACTCGGGAGGCTGAGGCAGGAGAATGGCGTGAACCCGGGAGGCGGAGCTTGCAGTGAGCTGAGATCCGGCCACTGCACTCCAGCCTGGGCGGCAGAGCAAGACTCCGTCTCAAAAAAAAAAAAAAAAAAAAAACAAACAAACAAAAAAAAATGTTTGTAGAAATGGAGTCATGCGGCCGGGCGCGGTGGCTCAAGCCTGTAATCCCAGCACTTTGGGAGGCCGAGACGGGCGGATCACGAGGTCAGGAGATCGAGACCATCCTGGCTAACACGGTGAAACCCCGTCTCTACTAAAAAGTACAAAAAACTAGCCGGGCGAGGTGGCGAGCGCCTGTAGTCCCAGCTACTCGGGAGGCTGAGCCAGGAGAATGGCGTAAGTCCGGGAGGCGGAGCTTGTAGTGAGCAGAGATCCGGCCACCGCACTCCAGCCTGGGTGACAGAGCGAGACTCCGTCTCAAAAAAAAAAAAAAAAAAAAAAAGAAATGGAGTCATGCTCTGTTGCCCAGGATGGTCTTGAATTCCTGGCCTCAAACAATCCTCCTGCCTCGGTCTCCCTAAGCACTGGGATTACAGGTGTAAGCCACTGCCCCTGGCCCTGCCAGGATCTTGCCTTCCACCTACTTTGGGATTTTCTTTCTTTCTTTTTTTTTTTTTTTGAGACGGAGTCTTTGCTCTTGTTGCCCAGGCTGGAGTGCAATGGCAAGATCTCGGCTTACTGCAACCTCCGACTCCTGGGTTCAAGCAATTCTCTTGCCTCAGCCTCCCGAGTAGCTGGGATGAATAAAAGCACCCACCACCACACCTGGCTAATTTTTGTATTTTTAGTAGTGATGAGGTTTCACCACGTTGGCCAGGCTGGTCTCGAACACCTCACCTCAAGTGATCTGCCCGCCTCCCAAAGTGCTGGGATTACAGTTGTGAACCACCACGCCCGGCTGAGATTTTCCTCTTTGGTTTTGGCCTGGATAGCCAAGAAACTACAAATATCTCCCACATGGATGTACTGCAGTTATTTAGCTCCTACTGTCAGATGTTTATATTGCTGCCAACGTCTCAGTGTTAGAAATAATACACAGGTGAACCACTCACTCATACATTATCGTGCATGTGTCTTGCCAGGATGTATCTAAGATAAATTCCTAGATGTGTGATCACTGGGTAAAAGGATGGGCTTTGGACACACTTAACAACCTGCCTTCCAGAAACATGACCCTTTGCACGCTCGTTTCCAACATGACCACTTGCACCCTTGTTTCCAATGTGCCCATTTGCACGCTCATTTCCAGTGTGTCCATTTGCACACTCATTTCCAATGGCCACACAGATATGCCTTGATTAGTATCAACTGGTTTGGGACAAAGACAAAGAAATAAAAGTTTGGAGAGAGAACTGGGGGAGTCAAAATTCAGGGCTAAGCTAATGTGCCAGGACTTTTTTTTTTTTTTTTTTTTTTTTTTTTTTTTTTTTTTTGAGACGGAGTCTCGCTCTGTCTCCCAGGCTGGAGTGCAGTGGCCGGATCTCAGCTCACTGCAAGCTCCGCCTCCCGGGTTCCCGCCATTCTCCTGCCTCAGCCTCCCGAGTAGTTGGGACTACAGGCGCCCGCCACCTCGCCCGGCTAGTTTTTTTTTTTGTATTTTTTTAGTAGAGACGGGGTTTCACCGTGTTCGCCAGGATGGTCTCGATCTCCCGACCTCGTGATCCGCCCGTCTCGGCCTCCCAAAGTGCTGGGATTACAGGCTTGAGCCACCGCGCCCGGCCAATGCCAGGACTTTTTTTGTGGAGCCAGAATGTTCTCTGTGAGATCTCTCAGCTCACAGTATGGAAGGGAGTGTAGTATTATAATAATAGTAACTAGCAATTACTGAGTGCCTGGCATGGTTTTAAGCTTTTATATTCATTCCTTTGATCTTTACAATATTTATTAGAACAGCTCTCCTTGGGTTTGAATCCCGACCTTTCACTTTCGTCCCATGACGCCGTCACCTCTACCAGCCTCAGTTTCCTTACATGGAAAATGAAGATGCTGGCCAAGAGAGGTGGCTCACGCCTGTAATCCCAGCACCTTGGGAGGCCATGGTGGAAGGATCACTTGAACCCAGAATTTGAGATCAGCCTGGGCAATATAGTAAGACTCCATCTCTACAGAAAAAAATTTTTTTTAAAATTAGCCAGGTCTCTTTAAGTAGATGAGGGATTATAAAAAAACAAAGTAGCCAAGCATGTAGGCACACACTTGTGGTCCCAGCTATTCGGGAGGCTAAGGAGGGAGGATCACTTGAGCCCAGGAGGTCGAAGCTGCAGTAAGTTATAATCACACCACTGCACTCCAGCCTAGACAACAGAGTGAGATGATGCCTATAAAAAATTAAACTAAAATAGATTGGCTGGGTGCAGTGGTTGACACGTGTAATCCCAGCACTTTGGGAGTCCAAGGTGGGTAGGTCACCTGAGGTCAGGAGTTTGAGACCAGCCTGGCCAACATGGTAAAACTCCGTCTCTACTAAATACAAAAAATTAGCCAGGTGTGGTTGCAGGCACCTGTAATCCCAGCTACTTTAGAGGCTAAGGCAGGAGAATCTCTTGAATTTGGGAGGCAGAGGTTGCAGTGAGCGGAGATTGAGCCATTGCACCCCAGCCTGGGTGACAGGGTGAGACTCTGTCACAAAAATGAATGAATGAATAAATAAATAAATATACATAAAAAATTAAATAAATAAAATGAAGATACTAACCATGTGACCAGACCCACTTCGCAGGGCAGATATGAGGATATGAGGTTAGAAATGGCATGATATTGCTGGCTGTGGTGGCTCACATCTGTAATCCCAGCACTTTGGGAGGCCAAGGCTGGTGTATCACCTGAGGTCGGGAGTTTGAGACCAGCATGACCAACATGGAGAAATCCTGTCTCTACTAAAATTACAAAATTAGCTGGGCATGGTGGTGCATGCCTATAATCCCAGCTACTCAGGAGGCTGAGGCAGGAGAATCACTTGAACCCAGGAGGCGGAGGTTGCAGTGAGCCAAGATCGCACCACTGCACTCCAGCCTGGACAGAGTGAGACTCTGTCTCAAAAAAAGAAAAAAAAAGAAATGGCATGATGTGGGCATAGCACTCAGGTGGTATGCCCATGTCAGCCATCCCGTGGAGGTAAACTGAGGGAGGAAAGGAAAGAGGAGAGCAGTTCTCCAGGGTTCCACTCTGGATCCCTTTTGGTCATTCACAGGACCCCTCCTTGCAGGTGGATGAAATCTTGGAGGACCAGCCGACTGCCAAGGAGCAGGTGTTTGCCGCGCTGAAGCAGTTTGCAGCTGAGCAGCGGGTGGATGACCTGGTGTGGGCTCTTACCCTGGCGCTGCCCCGAGAGGCCTGCGGGCCACTCCTGGACAACCTCAGGTACTGCAGGCAGGGGGCAGGATAGACAGGCAGGGTGGGTCTCAATTAGGGCCGTCATTCCCCCACAGCCAACCCAAGCACCCCTTCCAGCCCAGGTGGGAGATGGTAGATGGTAGCCTGTTCTCGAACTGCATGGCAACATACCTGCAACCCCCAAACAAGGGTAGGCCAATGACCCTGAGAAGGCAGCTGTTGGCTCTGCCAGATGCCAGGGTACCACCTTGAGTGATGGGAGAAGGGCTGGGATAGACCTCAGAAAGGATCCACCTTCTGATCTAAAGTCACCATCTTGGCCAGGCATGGTGACTCCTGCCTGTAATCCATGTGCTTTGGGAGGCTGAGCTGGGAGAACCGCTTGAGGCCAGGGGTTGGAGACCAGCCCGCCCAACATAGAAAGACCCCATGTCTATAAGAAATAAAAATTAACTGGGCGTGGTGGCACATGCTTGTAGTCCCAGTTACTTGGGAGGCTAAGGCTGGAGGATTTCTTGAATCCAGGAGGGTGGGGCTGCAGTGAGCTATGATTGCGCCTCTGCACTCCAGCCTGGGTGACAGAGCAAGACACTGTCTCAAAAAAAAAAAAAAAAGATCACAGTCTGTCCTGCTCCACCCTAAAACCTAGATTGTAAAACTCTCCAACAGGATACCAGACACTTCCAATTATTTATTGAGACAGCATAATGGCACAATGTGAGGGCAGGGAAGCCCAGGACTGTGCCATGTGGGGCTCCAGTACCCCCCACCAAAGCCACTCTACAAACCGTGTCTGCTCTTGGCCCTATGATTTCCTTTCTTTCCTTTCTTCTCTCTGTTGCTTTCTTTCTTCGTTTCCTTCTTTTTATTTTTTTTGAGACAGAGTCTCACTCTGTCGTCCAGTCTGGAGTGCAGTGGCGAGATCTCGGCTCACTGCAAGCTCCGCCTCCCGGGTTCACACGATTCTCCTGCCTCAGCCTCCCGAGTAGCTGGGACACAGGCGCCTGCCACCACGCCCCGCTAATTTTTTTTGTATTTTTAGTAGAGACGGAGTTTCACCGTGTTAGCCAGGATGGTCTCGATCTCCTGACCTCGTGACCATCCACCTCGGCCTCCCAGAGTGCTGGGATTACAGGCGTGAGCCACCGCACCTGGCTTTCTTTCTTCCCCTTTCTTTCCCTTCCTTTCCCTTCCCTTTCCCTTCCCTTTCCCTTCCCTTCCCTCCTTCCCTCTTTCATCTTCCTTTCTTTTGAGACAGAGTCTCACTCTGTCGCCCAGGCTGGAATGCAGTGGCGTGATCTCGGCTCACTGCAACCTCCGTCTCCTGGGTTCAAGCAATTCTCCTGCCTCAACCTCGTGAGTAGCTGAGATTACAGGCGCCACCACACCCAGCTAATTTTTGTATTTTTAGTAAAGATGGGGTGTCACCATGTTGGCCAGGCTGGTCTTGAACTCCTGACCTCAAGTGATCCACCCACCTCGGCCTCCCAAAGTGTGTGGATTACAGGCGTGAGCCACCGTACCCAGCCTGATTACTCTTCTTGTTTTGTTTTGTTTTGAGACAGGATCTCGCTATGTTGCCCAGGCAGAAGGGCAGTGCCATGATCTTGGCTCACTGTAGCCTCCAACTCCTGGGCTCAAGTGATCCTCCTGCCACAGCCTCCTGAGTAGTTGGGACTTCAGGTGTGCACCACCATGCCCAGTTAATTTTTGTATTTTTTTAGAGATGAGGTTTCACCATGTTGTCCAGGCTGGCCTCAAACTCCTGAGCTCAGTCAATCGCCCACCACGGCCTCCCAAAGTGCTGGCGTTACAGGCATGAGTCAGGTGCCCGGCCCTTTGATGCCTTTTGATGATGATGATGAATGTGTGCCAAGGACCTCAGCAGACCCTAGAGGAACACTCTTTCACTGAGTCACCCAAGAGCTGTTATTAACCCCATTTCCCAGAGACAGCCACACAGCAAATTGGGAGCAGTCACAGGACCGGGGGCAGGGTCAGCGGTGTACTTTCTGCTCTTCCGCTCTGTTTTACTCTAAGCTTTTTTGAATCGGAGTCTCGCTCTGTCACCCAGGCTGGTGTGCAGTGGCATTATCTCAGCTCACTGCAAAGTCTGCCTCCTGGGTTCAAGCGATTCTCCTGCCTCAGCCTCCCAAGTAGCTGGGCACCACCATGCCACCACGCTTGGCTAATTTTTGTATTTTTAGTAAAGACGGGGTCTCCGCCGGGCATGGTGGCTCACGCCTGTAATCCTAGCACTTTGGGAGTCTGAGGAGGGCAGAGCATGAGATCAAGAGTTCGAGACTAGCCTGGCCAACATAGTGAAACCCCGTCTCTACTAAAAATACAAAAAATTAGCAGAGTGTGGTGGCAGGCGCCTGTAATCCTAGCTACTCGGGAGGCTGAGGCAGAGGAATCGCTCGAACCGGGAGGCAGAGGTTGCAGCGAGCTGAGATTGCACCACTGCACTCCAGCCCGGTCGACAGAGTGAGACTCCATCTCAAAAAAAAAAAAAAAAAAGAAAGAAAGATGGGGTCTCACCATCTTTGCCAAGCTAGTCTCGAACTCCTGACCTCAAATGATCCGCCCGCCTCAGCCTCCAAAAGTGCTGGGATTGCAGACCTGAACCACTGCGCCTGGCCTGCTCTAAGTTTATTTGTCAGAAGAAAAAAAATCCTGGCGGGTCCTCACCTGGAGGGACCCAGGAATCTCCTGACTCCACCTCCATCCTTGGAGGCCCTCGCTGCCTGCCCAGCTTGGACCAAGCCCCCTCTAGGCTGGACTGCTGTTCTCCCTCCCTGGATCCCGCCGGGGTTCCCTCCTCACCCAGCCTCCCGGGCCTGCGACTGCTCCCCCATCCCTCCCCTCCCCCTTCCCGGACTCAGCCCGCCCCCTCCCCTTGCTGCCATTCACCCCGCAGCCTGCCCCTCCCTCTGGGCCTGGCCAATGTCAGGGACTGGGCTGGCCACCCTCCCCGCCCCCCACCCCACCCCAGCCCCGACGCACTCTCGGTTCTGCAGCGGAGCATAGGCGACCACCACCGAAAGAGGCCACCATGAGCTGCCTGGGGTGAGTAAGGGGTGAGCCCCTTGCTAGGAGAATCATAAGAGGGGAAAAAAAGAAAAAAGTTATTTCTAGAGCCGAATTTGCCGCGGAGATGATGCGCTGGCTCTGAGGGCTTCCTGGGGAGCTGATTGACAGGCAGCCCCCCCGTCCCGCCCCTCCCCACCAGGGATGGGCCAGCGGGGCGCAGGCGGCCCAGCTGTCCCCCAGGAAGTTGGCTCGCTAGTCTCCAGGCTGCTGGCAGCCGGGCTCGGCTGGAGGCCCTTTCGGTTCTCCTCCTCTCCCCAGAGCGCTGCCGGCGTCTGTTCCTGCCCCTCTCCCGGGCCAGCCCGCCTGCCCCCCGGGACATCCCCAAGCCCGCCTTTCCCAGCCGCTGTTGGTCCCCAAGCCGCCGGCAGCCGCGGCAGCAGGTCGGGCAGGGCGCGGGAGGGGGAACACCCTTGGGTGCGCTCGATTTAGAGCCCGGGCAGCGGGAGCCCTGGACACCTGGGGATGCCCGGTCCCCGCAGCCTGAAACGGCAGCCTCTGCTGTAAGCGCCAGGAAAAGTGGGGAGGCTGCTGGAGGAAGGGGCGGCGCCCAGCTGGGCTTTGCAAGGAGAATATTACCCTGGCAGTAGGGCTTCAGCCACCCTCCACCTCTTCAAACCCCCACTTCCCAACAACCCCCTCCCCAGGGCTGGCCTGTCACCCATGGCCCCACAGTGTGCTGGCCTCTAGGGTGGCAGCAATCTCTGGGCAGCCCCATCTGGAGAGAGGTCAGAGGGGGCGTGAAGGAGCCACAGACGCAGCTGTGATTCCCACGGTTGGGTGCCAGTTGATGGCTAACTCAGCACAGAGCAACCAGGGCAGGCTTCTTGGAGGAGGCAGCAGGAGGTGGCGGTGCTGTGGCTTAGTGACTGGTGGAGTCTGGTGGTGCCTCCTGTGGATGTGGGAGGACGGTCCCCAAGGAGAGTTCAGATAGGCCAGGTGCTAGCCACAGAGCAGAGGGCAGTGCCACCCTGGCCTGTGGCATCCAACAGTCCCCAGCTATGAACCAACCAACAGGGAGTAGAGGGGACCACAGAGAGCCACCACTTGGGCCCTAGGACCCCACACTGAGGAGAGACAAGGTTTAATTTTTTTAAGAATTTATAAATAGAGACAGGGTCTCACTATCTTGCCCAGGCTGGCCTGGCCTCAAGAGATCCTCCCATCTCAGCCTCCCAAAGTTCTGGGATTACAGGTGTGAGCCACTGTGCCCCACCAAGAGGTAAGATTTAAGTGAGAGGTTGAATAGCCAAAGGGTGGTAGGCAAAAAAATATACACATGTGTGTGTGTCAAAGCTCTGCAAGGAGGCCAGGACCCACCCAAATCAGAGAGGTGTGGCCTCACTAAAGGGTGATCCCAGTGGCCAACATGGAAGGCTTAGGGAGAAGTAGAAGGGACCAGTGACACCATGAAGCTGGGCCATCTGGCACACTAGCCACTAGCCACATATGGTTAATTTAAAGTTAAATGTGGCTGGGCATGGTGGCTTATGCCTGTAATTCCAGCACTTTAGGAGGCCGAGGCGGGTGGATCACCTGAGGTCAGGAATTTGAGACCAGCCTGGCCAACATAGTGAAACCCCGTCTCTACTAAAAATACAACAATTAGCTGGGCAGGGCCCGGCGCGGTGGCTCACACCTGTAATCCCAGCAATTTGGGAGGCTGAGGCGGGCAGATCACCTAAGGTTGGGAGTTTGAGACCAGCCTGACCAACATGGAGAAATCCCATCTCTACTGAAAATACAAAATTAGCTGGGTGTGGTGGCACATGCCTGTAATCCCAGCTACTCGGGAGGCTGAGGCAGGAGAATTGCTTGAACATGGGAGGCGGAGATTGCAGTGAGCCAAGATCACGCCATTGCACTCCAGCCTGGGCAACAGGAGTGAAACTCTGTCTCAAAAAAAAAAAAAAAAAAAAAAAAGGCCGGGCGCAGTGGCTCAAGCCTGTAATCCCAGCACTTTGGGAGGCCGAGATGGGCAGATCACAAGCTCAAGAGATCGAGACCATCCTGGCTAACATGGTGAAACCCCGTCTCTGCTAAAAAATACAAAAAAAAACTATCCGGGCGAGGTGGCGGGCGCCTGTAGTCCCAGCTACTGGGGAGGCTGAGGCAGGAGAATGGCCTAAACCCGGGAGGCGGAGCTTGCAGTGAGCTGAGATCTGGCCACTGCACTCCAGCCTGGGCGACAGAAAAAAAAAATTTGTTGGGCATGATGGCAGGTGCCTGTAATCCCAGCTACTTGGGAGGCTGAAGCAGGAGAATCGCTTGAACCCGGGAGGTGGAGGTTGCAGTGAGCTGAGATCAAGCCACTGCACTCCAGCCTCCAGCCTGGGTGATAGAGCCAGACTCTGTTCCAAAAAAAAAAAACACGTTAAATGTAATTAATATTTGATAAAATATAAAGTTCAGCTTCTCAGTCTCACTAGCCACATTCCAAGCACACAACAGTGACAGTGACATATGGCTAGCGGCTACTGTACAGGACCAGGCGGATGTAGACCTTGTCCATCATCACAAGACATTCCCTTGGACAGCACTGCTGCTGTAAAGGGTGAGATGGGTCTGTGGTCACCATGTAAGCAGGAGGTTTCCTCTTCCTTCACCACAACAGTTAATCCTGCGACTGGGAGGCTAATTTGGGTCTGTCCCCAAAGGGATCCCGATCTGATGAAGTGAGAAAATGGCTTTCTAATTAGGACAGGCCAGGCAGTTTGGAAATCGTGACGTGGCCAGGAGGGAACAGGAAAGCAGAGTCAGCTTTGCAGTCCACTAGTGTTTCAGGAAATATGGGTGGTGGGGTGGGGGGAACAGGGGTGTCAGGTCGGGGGCAGGTCATGGTAGAAGCTGGGATTCGGAATCCGGACAGACCCGGCTTGAATACAGGTTCACTCACTGGCAGTGCAACCTCAAGCAGGTTCACTGACATCCACAGTTTGTCTGTAAAATGGGGTTGGTAGTTTCTGGGTGTTCCCAGCAGGGTTCTTGGTAGGAAACCATGTAAATGAACTCAGCCAACTGAAAGCAGGAAAGAGGTGAGTTGAAAATCTAAGGGTGGCATGTGAGGGACCATCTGCACCCCGTCACCCTCTTCTGCTTCACTGCCAAGTGTCACAAACACCATAATATAGAGTTATTGGGGCTGGGCGCAGTGGTTCATGCCTGTAAGCCCAGCATTTTGGGAGGCTGAGGCAGGAGGGTTGCTTAAGGCCAGAGTTCAAGACCAGTCTGGGCAGCATAGTGAAACCCTATCTCTACAAAAAATACAAATAAAAAATTTAGCTGGGTTTGGTGGTTCACACCTGTGATCCCAGCATTTTGGGAGGCTGAGGTAGGAGGATCACCGGAGCCCAGGAGCTTAAGGCCAGTCTAGACAACATAGCAAGATCCCATCTCTTAAAAAAAAAAAAGTTTAAAAATGAGCTGGGAGCAGTGGTGCCTGCCTGTAATCCCCGCAATTTTGGAGGCTGAAGCGGAAGGATTGCTTAAGGCCAGCAGTTGAAGACCAGGCTGGGCAACAGAGCGAGACCCTATCTCTACAAAAAAAAATTTAAAAATTAGCTAGGCATGGTGGTACATGCCTGTAGTCCTAACTACTTGGGAGGCTGAGGTGGGAGGATCACTTGAGCCCAGGAATTTGAGGCTGCAGTGATTCATGATCATGCCACTGCACTCCAGCCTGGGTGACAGAGCAAGACTCTGTCTCTAAAAATAAATAAGAGAGGCCGGGCGCGGTGGCTCAAGCCTGTAATCCCAGCCCTTTGGGAGGCCGAGACGGGCAGATCACGAGGTCAGGAGATCGAGACCATCCTGGCTAACCCAGTGAAACCCCGTCTCTACTGAAAAATACAAAAAAAAAAAAAAAAAAAAAAATTGCCGGGCAAGGTGGCGGGCGCCTGTAGTCCCGGGAGGCTGAGTCAGGAGAATGGCGTAAACCCGGGAGGCGGAGCTTGCAGTGAGCTGAGATCCGGCCACTGCACTCCAGCCTGGGCGACAAAGCGAGACTCCGTCTCAAAAAAAAAAAAAAATAAATAAATAAATAAGAGAGATATTGGGGGAATTCTATAAGATGTGTAGATGGAAGCACCAGGCATAAAATATGTGCTCAATTAGTATTGGCTTCTCTTAGGGAAGCTCTTTTTTCCCCAACAGCAGGTGTCTCAAGTAGGGCACTGCTGACATTTGGGAGCTGATATTTCTCTGTTGTCGGGGGCTGTCCTGCACATTATAGGATGTTTACCAGCATCCCAGGCCTCTACCCTCTAGAAGCCAGTAGCACAACCCCCTGTCAGTTGTCATTTTGTAACAAACAAAATGCCAAGTGACTGCCAAATACCCCCTGGGTGGACAAAATCACGACTGGTTGAGAAGTACAGCTCTGGAGGAATCTTAGGCAGTGCCTTCTGCTGGAGTAGACACTTCAGGGAAGTCCGGCTGTTGCCTGTCCCCTGGTGATCACTTGGTGACTGGGTGACCACCTCATGCTGCCCTGGGTCACCTGGCCACAGGCATGAGCAGCTGGCCCCACGGTGCCCACGGAGACCTGGCCCTGAGGTAGTGTGCCTGGATTCGACCCTGGGCATCTGCTCCCGGGTTGCATCTCCTGTTCCCACAGCACGGTGGACGGTTTTCAGAGCCTTTGGCCATGCCTGGTTCTGGATGCTGGGCCACTGCAGCCGGCACAATACAACCAGGAATGGCTCCAATCATAATGGGATGGCTGGAGCCCCACAGACGTCAGGGAGCTGTGCTGGCTTGGAGGCTTGTCAGCTGCTTCTCTCCCTCGCAGAGCTGAGGACAGGGCTTGGAAAGGGCACGGCATGAGTGGGCACTGGCTCTTGTTTCTGGCTGCTTCCAGGAAGAAGTACAGCCACGGGAGGTTACTTCAAGGTGTTGGTCCTGCTGGGGCCAAGAATGGGGGGCTGTGGTGGGTTGGAGAAAAGTGTGGGGGCAGTACTAAAGACCGATGATCGGACCCACAGGTACCCACGGGCTGCCCCATGGGAGCTGTCCCTCTGAGACAGAGGGAAAGGCCCGGGGCATCCCGCCTCTGCTGTTCCAGCCTGTCTTTGGTGAGGGCCTCATGCTGATGTTCCTGGTTGGGGGTGCCCCTGAAGAGCCCCTCCCCAGGATGTGCCTTGAACTGGTTACCCCAACTCTATCATTTGTTCATCAGGCCTGATTCTGCGCCTCTCCAGTGGCAGTGGGGACTCCTTGAGACATGACAACACAAGCAGGCATGCTGGGGTCCCCTCCTGCTGCCGTTCAGGGGATGGCAGGCCCAGAGCCCCCAGGGAAGAGTCCAGACCTCCTTTCCTGTCGCCTTCCTCTCCTCTCCTTTAACGTTCCTCCCCTCTTCTCTCTTGGCAGGGCAGGATGCACAGCTCAGGGAGGCCCTCTACTCGCTCCCTCCCCACTCACCTGGGGATTGTCACAGCCTGGGCGCCCTGTCCTCACTCGCACTCCTCCTCGGGCCTCAGACACTCCACCTCCTCTGTGTTTTGGAATCCAGCTTCTTGTCCCACCCCAACACCCCGCTCTGGGTCACCTCCCAGCATCACCCCTCTCCTGGTGTGCCAAAACATTTGGATTCCTTCCACCTCTCCTTGAACCCTGAAACCCGCCCACGGCTCCCTCCTGTTCCCAGAGTGGGGTCTCAGCTGCTGACCACCGCGTTCAAAGTCTCCCTATCCAGCCTCTTCTCGGCCACAGCCGAGAATTAGCCAGACATGGTGGTACATGCCTGTAGTCCTAGCTACTCCGGAGGCTGAGGTGGGTCCCTCCCCGACCCCGGAGAAGATAGAGAGGGCTTCTTCTAGCTGGGCGACTCCTGCTGAGCCCTGGAGTCCAGCGCAAAGGCCATTCCCTCCGGAAAACACTGCATGCTCTACCAAATGCCGTCGGGGCTTCCTCTAAACTGCAGGGACTCGCCACTGTGGGGGTTCCGGGGCGCAGTGGCTGGAGAGGACGCAGGCGAGGATCCTGCGGAGGGAATAATGGAGAGAGCCAAGGGGAGTGAGCGTGGCGGCTTCAAACCGCCCCCAGTTTCCGCTGCACCCCAGAACGACCAAAGGGTCCCAGCAGGGGAGAGGCGGGGCCACCGGGAGGGGGCGGGGCCACCAAGAGGGGGCGGGGCGGGGCTGCGGGCCGGGACCGCTCGGGAGGGGCCGTGAGCGCTCGCCGGGCAGAGGTGCGTGGAGTCGCGGCGCGCTCGCTCCACTCCCGGGCTCGGCTACCCCCTGCCCTTCGGCACCTGCCGCGGCGCGATCCCCGGCTCCAGATGGGGAAGGACCAGGGCTTCTCTCGGCACTTTCGGTAGATTCCCCCATCGCGTCCGGCGCCTCCGGGAACCGTGCGCCCAGTGCGCCACGGATCCGCTTCGGGCTGGTTTGAAAGGGGGTGGGGCTGGAGTGTGGAGGGGCTTCCCTGCCCTGGGTGGGCACCCTCCGAGCCTGGGCGGAGCCCGAGGCCCAGGGAGTTTGGAAATAAACTGGGTGGGTACAGGGGCGGCGAGGTCTAAGCGTTGGGCGCTCAGAACCCGTGCGCGGCCCTAAAGAGTCGGTGTTGGGACAAAAGGCTGGGATTGAAAGCCCACTTTCCTTCCTACAACTGGGCTGGTCGAGGGGACAGGACAGAGGGCCGAGACTGAGGTTGGGTGCTCTTGTGAAAATCGGGGTCATCTCATCCTGAGTTTGGGGGGCACGACCTCCCCACTGCCGTGCTCCCTATAGGGAACCAGGGCACCCTTGTCCCCTTGCCACCATTTCGCTGGCTAATAATCAAAGGTGAGATAGAGAAAGCTGGGTGAGACGGCCAGGCGCGGTGGCTCACGCCTGTAATCCCAGCACTTTGGGAGGCCGAGGGTGGGGGGGGCGGATCTTTTGAGGTCAGGAGTTCGAGACCAGCCTGACCAACATGGTGAAACCCCTTCTCTACTAAAAATACAAAAAACAGCCGGGTGTGGTAGTGCATGCCTGTAGCCCCAGATACTCAAGAGGCTGAGGCAGAAGAATCGCTTGAACCTGGGAGGCGGAGGTTGCAGTGAGCCAAGATTGTACCACTGTACTCCATCCTGGGTGACAGAGAGTGTCTCTCAAACAACAACAACGAAAAGGCCAGGCGCAGTGGCTCACGCCTGTAATCCCAGCACTTTGGGAGGCTGAGGCGGGTGGATCACGAGGTCAGGAGATCGAGACCATCCTGGCTAAAACAGTGAAACCCCGTCTTTTCTAAAAATACAAAAAATTAGCCGGGTGTGGAGGCACGCGCCTGTAGTCCCAGCTACTTGGGAGGCTGAGGCAGGAGAATGGCGTGAATCTGGGAGGTGGAGCTTGCAGTGAGCGGAGATCACACCACTGCACTCCAGCCTGGGCAACAGACTGAGACTCCGAGACTCCATCTCAAAAAAAAAAAAAAAGAGAGAGAGAAAGCTGGGTGGGAAGGGGACAGGAAATGGAGAGAGAGGACCCTACAAGGGGGCGGAGTAGGAACTTGGAGTTGGATTTAGACCTGACTCTGGCAGAGAGAACAGAACTGACCTGGGGTGCAAGGTCATTGTGTGACCCCCAGGAAGAGTCCTGTGGCCTGAGAGAGGCCTGTTGGCATAGCAGAGACAGTGATTGCTGGACTGCCAGTCAGAGGGATAGTGACTGGTGGCAATATTCGCTGTGGCCCCCCTGCTCCTGGTTCTGCTGGGTCAGTTGATTTAGGGCAGACCCAGGGCTGGGGACTCTGGGCCAGACTGAGCTGCATGGAGGACCAGCAGGAGCCAGGTTGGATGTCTGGCTCACCAGGCAGCCTTGGCCTCTGTCTCAGCCCCAAAAACACCAAGTACGGAAAGGGCCGCCCAGCCTTCTTCCATCTGTGCAGTTCGTGAAAGCCAGGTTCCCACCTGGGGGACAGGGCCTTTTCTTTTTTTTTTTGAGATGGAGTCTCACTCTGTTGCCCAGGCTGGAGTGCAGTGGTGCAATCTGGGCTCACTGCAACCTCTGTCCCCGGGGTTCAAGCAATTCTTGTGCCTCAGCCTCCTGAGTAGCTGGGATTACAGGAGTGCGCCACCATGCCCGGCTAAGTTTTGTATTTTTAGTAGAGACGGGATTTCATGACATTGGCCAGGCTGGTCTCGAACTCCTGACCTCAGGTAATCTGCCCGCCTCGGCCTCCCAAAGTGCTAGGATTACAGGCTTGAGCCACCGCGCCCGGACAACAGGGCCTTTTCTAGTTGCTGCTGGAAGGTAGAGCTGTGATGTCCTCTTGACTCCTGCCCAGGTTGGACTCAGGATTCGGGTGCATGGGGTGATGTTTTCAGAGTCTGTGGCTGGAGCCGTAATGTGATGGACAGTCTCAGGTGTGTTTCTTTTCTCCTTTGCCTGGACGTGAGACTTGAGGTCTGGGAGGCGCTAGGGAATGTCCAGGCCAGGCAGATGGAGGGGTCAGGTTCCGGAGACCTTAAGTGACCATCTGGGGGGTGAGGCTGAGTTTCCGGATTTGCAGGAAACATTGCAGGTGGATGGGAATGGGCACCGGGCAGAAGTGATCAGGACATTCATCCTGGCTCCTGATTATCCCCCGGACTATCCAGACCTGGAGCAGAGCTCACTGCAGGGACAGAGCCTCCTCCCTGAGAATCCACACCCACTTCCTCCCACCAGACAACTTCTTTTGCCTGGCTGGCCTAATTACTCCTACCCACAGAGGTGGAGGGAAGTGTGAGGGCCGCTGGACACCGAAGAGGGGTTTGTATTTCAGCGGCAAGGCCACTGATCCCTTTTCCCTTCTCCCCCTCATCTTGCCCTTGGCCCTGGCACCTGGTACAAGGAAGAGGGAATGGAGCCTTGGGATGCAGCCAGGGAGGCCTCACAGGCAACCAGACCTTCAGGGGCTCTCATTAGAGGTCCTGCCACAGTGCTGAGTGCTGAAGTCTGGGCTCTGATGCCAGCTATGTAACCATGGAGAGCTACGAGTCCTCTCTGTGCCTCAGAATCCTCTGCCACAGACCGCAGAGTCCATCAGGATGTTAACTGCTGCCATTACTCAGAGATGGGGTTAGGCTGCTGGTGGACCTTCTGTTGACTGAGTCTCTCCTGTGTGCTGAGCCCTGGTCAGTCACTGTGGCTCAGGATTGAACTATAGGCCTAACCCTCAGAAAGCTTCCAAGGCTGGGTGTTGTAGCTCAGCCCTGTAATCCCAGCACTTTGAGAAGCGGAGGTGGCAGTATCACTTGATCCCAGGAGTTTGAGACCAGCCTGGGCAACACAGAGCCTCAACTCTACAAAAAAATTAAAAAGAAAAAAATGCCAGGCATGGTGGCTCACGTCTGTAATCCCAGGACTTTGGGAGGCCGAGGCAGGCAGATCACCTGAGGTCAGGAGTTCAAGACCAGCCTGGCCAACATGGTGAAACCCCCATCTTTACTGAAAACACAAAAATTAGCCGGGCATGGTGGCGTGCACCCATAATCGCAGCTACTCGGGAGACTGAGGTGGAAGAATTGCTTGAACCAGGGAGGTGGAGGTTCCAGTGAGCTGAGATCTCACCATTGCACTCCAGCCTGGGTGACAGAGCAAGACTCTGGAAAAAAAAAAAAAAAAAAATTAGCCTGGTGGCATGTGCCTGTAGTCCTAGCTACAAGGGAGGCTGAGGCAGGAGGATCCCTTGAGACCAGGAGTTCCAGGTTACAGTGAGCTATGATCGAGCTATGATTGTGCCACTGTACTATAGCCTGGGAGACAGAGCAAGACCCTGCCTCAAAAGAGAAAAAAACAGAGAGAGACAGAGAAAGAAAGGGAGTTTCTAGCCCCACAGCAGAGACCCTGGGGCCTTCCCCCTGCCTCTTACTTCCAAGGTAACTACTTTGAGAGTGGGAGCCACAGTCCCTTCAGCTTTGAACCCCAGTTCCTGGCTGGCACAGAGAGCAGAGGCTCCCTGCATACATGTAGGATTAAGTTGGAAGGAGGCCAGTGTTGAGTATGGAGCCTCATTCAGCTAAGGAAGCAAAGGAGTGGACCAGGCTGGGGCAAGAGCCTGGGCAAGAGCTTAGAGATAGGACTGAAGGCGGCAGAAGCGGTTCCTGGCAGGTATCTGAGTGGGCAGCTGCAGATAGGACTGGCCAGAGAAGCAAGCAGGAAGACTGGAGGCGTGGTGAGCGGCTCATAGGTTCCAGTTTCCTCCCGCAGAGCCACCTAGAGACCAGGTGGGAGACAGTGGGTGGTGGGGATCCCTGACTTGGGGCTTGGCCTGGTGGGTGCAGAGGGAGTCAGGGAAGAGGCCAGAGAAGGAGGACAGAGGCAGGAGGAGGAACGGGTGCGTGGACTAGCTTGGAGGGGCTCAGGCCCTGCAGTGGCCAGAGTCATGAAGGACGGTCCGAACGCGCCATTCCCGAGGTGGAGCGAGCAGGACGCCACGTCCTAGCTGGGGGCGCAAATCCGAGCACCTAGGGGAGACTGGGTTGCCACAGGCTGCTGATCCCCCCAACCCTCCGCCGCTCCTGGGAAGAGGCGGGAGAGCCCAGGGCGGCGCCCGCGAGGACGCGCCTTCGGACCGCGGTTTGCAGAGATCCAGGGTCCGGGAACGCGCCCCGACTCCGCCGTCCTTGCCGGCAGGATCTTCATCCCCAAGAAGCACCGGGCGCGCTTCGACGAAGTGGTGTCACAGGGCCTCCTGGGCAAGCTGTGCCGCGCCCGCCGGGCCCAGGGCGCGCAACGACTGCGCCGGAGCCGCAGCGAGGAGCGGCCCGAGCGCCTCCTGGTATCCACGCGCGCCAGCGCCGCGCCGCGCCGCCCGGATGAGCCGCCCCCGCGCAGGGCCTCTTTGCTGGTGGGCGGCCTCGCCGGCCCCGGGGGCGCGCGCAGGTACGCGGGGTTCACAGGCACTGGCCGCTGGAGCTTCCCTGCGGGTGGGCTCGGGACCGAGACCCGGGGAGAGGGCGCAGGGGCGGGGCTCGTCAGCTGGGTTGCAGAGCGGGCGGGAGAGGTTAAGGGGAGAGGGACACGGGACATCTCCAACCTCTGCGCCCTAGGACCCCCTCTCCATCACGCTGCTCGCCCCTTCTTTTTCTCCCCAGGACTGTCCGAGTCTACAAAGGCAACAAGAGCTTCGGCTTCACACTTCGCGGCCACGGGCCTGTCTGGATCGAGTCTGTCCTGCCTGGTGAGGGGTGGGCCGGTTGCCCTAAGAGTCCCTAAGGCCCAGGATGGGGTGAAGGACCCCGTGGTGGCTCTCCCGGGTCATTGTACCCCATGCAGGCTCCTGCTCAGCAATCCCTCCCCGCCAGGTACCATCCTTGTGTGGACGGTGTCCCCAGAGTGTCCCAGAGCCAGCAGATCTGAATTCCACTCCTACCTAAGATGCTTGAGGCCAGAGCCTTCTGCCTGAGTTGGGGCACCCCACCCCTGCCCCTCTAAATTCAGCATTACCCCCAGCCAAGAGAACCAGGTTCTGCATCCAGACCTTTCCTGTGGCCACAGGGAGAGCTGGGGGACACTGTCCAGGACTTCGGGGCAGCCAGGACTGAGCTGGTGCGTACCCAGGCTGTGCCCCCAGCAACACCAGCTGCTTGGAGTCCCCGCGCTGAACTGGGTTCTTGCCTGGCGGGCCAGACTCAGAGAGCCAAAAGGGCCTCAGGGCCTCTACCTGCTGTCTAACCACCACCCCCCGCAATCTGGACTTTGCTCTCCTCCCACCCCGCCTACCCCTTCTTGTTCCTGAATCATGGCATCTTTTTATTTTATTTTACTTATTTTATTTTATTTTAATGAGATAGGGTGTCGCTCTGTCACCCAGGCTGGAGTGCAGTGGTGCAATCTTGGCTCACTGCAGCCTCCATCTCCCAGCCTCAAGTGATCCTCCCACCTCAGCCTCCAGAGTAGCTGGGACCACAGGTGCATGCCACCATGCCTAGCTAATTTTTTGTATTTCTGATAGAGATGGGGTTTTGCCATATTGCCCAGGTTGGTCTTGAACTCATAAACTCAAGTAATCCTCCCGCCTTGGCCTCCCAAAGTGCTGGGAGTATAGGCGTGAGCCATCATACCTGGCCTATTTCTTAAATTAAATTAAATTTAAATTTTTGAGCAGAGTTTTGCTCTTGTTGCCCAGGCTAGAGTGCAATGGCACGATAGCCCACTGCAGCCTCTGCCTCCCAGGTTCAAGCGATTCTCCTGCCTCAGCCTCCTGAGTAGCTGGGATTACAGGTGCCTGCCACCACACCCGGCTAATTTTTTGATATTTTTAGTAGAGATGGGGCTTCGCCATGTTGGCCAGGCTGATCTTGAACTCCTGGCCTCAGGTGATCCGCTCGTCTTGGCCTCCTAAAGTTTTGGAATTACAGGCCTGAGCCACCACACTCGGCCTATTTTATTTTATTTTAAAGAGATGAGGTCGGCCAGGCATGGTGGCTCACGCCTGTAATCCCAGCATTTTGGAAGGCCAAGGAGGGCGGATCACAAGGTCGGAGATCAAGACCATCCTCGCTAACAAGGGGAAACCCCATCTCTACCAAAAATACAGAAAAAAATATTAGCCGGGTGTGGTGGAGGGCACCTGTAGTTCCAGCTACTCAGGGAGGCTGAGGCAGGAGAATGACGTGAACTCAGGAAGCGGAACTTGCAGTGAGTGGAGATTGAGCCACTGCACTGCAGCCTGGGCGACAGAGCGAGACTCCATCTCAAAAAACAAAAAAAAACAAAAAAGAAAAAACAAAAAAAAAGAGATGAGGTCTTTCTCTGTTACCCAGGCTGGCGTGCAGTGGCATGATCATGGCCCACTGCAGCCTCGAACTCCTGGGCTCAAGGGATCCTCCTGCCTCAGCCTCCTAAATGTTGGGATTACAGGTGTGAGCCACCACGCCCAACCATGGCATCTTGAAGAAGGCAGAACGTCCCCAGTGCAAGAACCCCTTTCTTCCTGCCCCTCCAGTGGGGCAGGGGTGCGTGTGCTCATATTTATTGTGGAAGGTGTTTGTAGGGCAGAGGTGTCTCCTAGAGCTAAATTGAATTCTCTCTCCCTGAACCATCTGCTCAGAACTGGGTCACCTGCTCGGTCCTGCATCCATCCCCTCCTGGCACCTAAGTGTAATGCTCCTGGTTACACATCCCCATTGGTGGCCATGCCAGTGTGTTCTTTCCACACTCTGCATGTCAGCATATCTCCAGTGTATGGATCTGTGAGCTGAGCATTGTCTGATCCTGTAGTCCCAGCCCGGGAATGATCCCATGCCTTTCCTGTCATAGGAAGCCAAATGGATGCTTAGATGGAAGCTTTGACAGATGGGCAAACTGAGGTCTGTAGTCCCAGCCCTGGAAGAGCACTTCAGTGTCAGTGCATCATGCTCACAGGCTTCGGGCTGTTCTGAGACTTAATCCTGATAAGTGGCATGTTCGGGTTCTTCCCTGATTTGGGCATCACTAAATTGTTGACACTGTATTGTAAGCAAAAGGTCCAAAGCTACTCTCTAGAGAATTTCCTCTAGAAGTGATTCATCTCTCCTCTGTGGATGTAGCTGCTCCAAGCATGCCACCACCACCATCCTCATCTCTCAGTCTCTCCCACATGGGTAGCCAGAGATACCTGGCCCAGGGCCTTGTTAGAATCCAGGTGTGGCCAGGTGCAGCGGCTCACACTTGTAGTCCCAGCACTTTGGGAGGCCGAGGCAGGAAGATCACTTGAGCCCAGGAGTTTGAGACCAGTCTGGGCAATAGTGAGGCACATGCCTGTAGTCCCAGCCCAGAAGTTCGAGGCTGCAGTGAGCTGTGATCGTGCCACTGCATTCCAGCCTGGGTGACAGAGCAAGACCCTGTCTCAAAAAAAGAAAAGAAAAAAAAAAAAAAATCCAGGTCTGCTGTTCTTCCCAACCAAACCTTCAAGCTAGTGGTCCCATGCCTTTCCTGTCATAGGAAGCCAAATGGATGTTTAGATGGATGCTTTTACAGATGGAGAAACTGAGGCCTGGAGAGGCTCTGGTAAATTAAGGACCAGAAACTGGGATCTCCTGACTCCTGGGCCCAGTGCTCTTTGATCCCCTGCGACAACTTCTCTAGCTATCCCGCCATTCCAGGCAGGCCAGATTGGATTCGCCACCACCATCACTCTCTCCTCCTCTTGAGTCCAGGGAAAGGACTTCTCCCATCTCGCCTCTCCCAGGAAGTCTTCCCTAATTGTTCCCCCTCTTCTCTGGACAGTTTCCACCTCCCCCAGAGAGAACTTCTCGCAATGTGAGAGTATATTTTATTTAGCCATTGATATTTTCCCTACCTTCCAAATTACATTTAGAATGATGACTCATAAAAGAGGCAGAAAGAGGCCGGCGTGGTGGCTCACACTTGTAATCCCAGCGCTTTGGGAGACGGAGGCAGGAGGATCATTTGAGGGCAGGAGTTTGAGACGAGCCTGGGCAACATGGTAAAACTTTGTCTCTACAAAATATACAAAAATGAGGTGGCCGGGCACGGTAGCTTATACCTGTAATCCCAGCACTTTGGGAGGCCAAGGTGGCGAATCACTTGAGCTCAGTAGTTTGAGACCAGCCTAGGCAATATGGTGAAACCTCGTCTCTACTAAACACACACACACACACACACACACACACACACACACACACACACACACACAAATTAGCCAGGCGTGGTGGCTATAGTCTCACCTATTCAGGAGGCTGAGGTAGGAGAATAGCTTGAACCCAGGAGGCAGAGGTTGCAGTGAGCCGAGAGATCATGCCATTGCACTCCAGCCTGGGTGATAGAGCGAGACTCCATTAAAAAAAAAAAAAAAAAAAAAAAAAATTAGCCTGGAGTGGTGGTGGGTGCCAATGGTCCCAGCTACTCAGAGGCTGAGGTGGGAAGATTGCTTGAGCCTAGGAGGTTGAGGCTGCAGTGGCTCTGTGATCACACCTCTGCACTGCAGCAAGACCCTGTCTCTAAAATTTTAAAAATATATACAGAAGGCTGGACGCGGTGGCTCACGCCTGTAATCCCAGCACTTTGGGAGGCCGAGGTGGGCAGATCACGAGGTCAGGAGATCGAGACCATCTTGGCTAACACAGTGAAACCTCATCTCTACTAAAAATACAAAAAATTAGTCGGGCGTGGTGGCGGGCGCCTGTAGTCCCAGCTACTCAGGGAGGCTGAAGCAGGAGAATGGCTTGACCCCCAGGAGGCGGAGCTTGCAGTGAGCGGAGATCGCGCCACTGCAGTCCAGCCTGGGCAACAGAGCGAGACTCCATCTCAAAAAAAAAAAAAAAAAAAAGTATATATGTACAGAAGATAATTCTGAAGCAAAGAGGAATCCCAGACCCTGACAGGAGCTTTCTTTTTTTTTTTTTTTTTTGAGACGGAGCCTCGCTCTGTCGCCCAGGCTGGAGTGCAGTGGCCGGATCTCAGCTCACTGCAAGCTCTGCCTCCCGGGTTCACGCCATTCCCCTGCCTCAGCCTCCCGAGTAGCTGGGACTACAGGCGCCCGCCACCTCGCCCGGCTAGTTTTTTGTATTTTTTTAGTAGAGACGGGGTTTCACCGTGTTATTAGCCAGGATGGTCTCGATCTCCTGACCTCGTGATCCGCCCATCTCGGCCTCCCAAAGTGCTGGGATTACAGGCTTGAGCCACCACGCCCGGCCCTGACAGGAGCTTTCTATGCGGGGCGAAGAACAGTGTATGGAGCAGCGACTCGAGAAGTACTGGTGTTGCCTAAGTCCTGCTCTCCAGACCTCGCTCTTCTCCAGCACTGGGGGTTCATGCTGTGCCCCCGCTAGGGGATCACTCCCGTGGTCCTTAGATCCTTAGAGCAGCTGAGATCGGAGATGTGCAGAGTCTGTTACAGGGATCTGCTGACCTGATTTGACTCTCCTCTGCCACCCATGCCTATGGGGCTCTGTACTTTTCTACCTTTTTTTTTTTTTTGGTAGAGACGGGGGTCTCACTATGTTGCCCAAGCTGGTCTCGAACTCCTGACCTTAAGTGATCCTCCTGCCTTGGCCTCCCAAAGTGCTGGGATTACAGGTGTGAGCCACCATTCCCGGCCAGTTATGGGTCTCTGAGTCTCCATTTCTCGCCTGTAAAACAGGATAGCATTCTTTTTTTTTTTTTTTTTTTTTTTTTTGAGACGGAGTCTCGCTCTGTCGCCCAGGCTGGAGTGCAGTGGCGCGATCTCGGCTCACTGCAAGCTCCGCCTCCAGGGTTCACGCCATTCTCCTGCCTCAGCCTCCCAAGTAGCTGGGACTACAGGCGCCTGCCGCCATGCCCGGCTAATTTTTTGCATTTTTAGTAGAGACAGGGTTTCACCGTGTTAGCCAGGATGGTCTCGATCTCCTGACCTCGTGATCCACCCACCTCAGCCTCCCAAAGTGCTGGGATTACAGGCGTGAGCCACCGCGCCCGGCCGAGAACAGGATAGCATTCTGCTCTCAAAGTGGTAACCTGCCGCTGACTGGCACACCCTCTCTTCTTGCTTCCAGGGAGCCCAGCTGACAATGCTGCCCTCAAGTCAGGTGACCGGATCCTCTTCCTCAATGGACTGGACATGAGGTCAGAGGCTACTGGGGACACCAGAGGTTGGTGATGAACTGCCCCCACCCCCTGCAAGACTCCTGCCTTTTGGGGCACCCAGGCCATGGTCACAATCTCCTCTCACCAGCTGGTCCCCAAGTTCTGTCCCTTTTCCAGTGGGAACTCTTGAATCTAACCCTCCTCCTCGCCAGTCTCCAACTCTAGCCAGGACCTCAGTTCATCCTTCCAACCAGAAAATATTCCAGCTCCATGCTGGGGACACAGAGTCACACAGAGGTGGTCTTGCTGTGTGGCCTCTGTGGGCAGGACAGGGAGGTCTGGCTGGTGGCCGTGGAGAGGGCTCACCCCAGTCAGGCCCTCCTGGGCCATCTCTGCTTGGCAGGAACTGCTCCCACGACAAGGTGGTGTCCATGCTGCAGGGCAGTGGTGCCATGCCTACGCTGGTGGTGGAGGAAGGGCTCGTCCCATTTGCCAGTGGTGAGACCCCCATGGACACTTGGCTTCCTTGGCCCACAGAGACACTACCCGGGCTGCTATGTGTGAGATTCACAGTACAGAGGACTCAGCTCTTCCCCTAAACCTTCAGCTTGCCTTCCCAGGGCTGCCCCCTAAGTGGTGCTGTAGAACCCCGGTGAAGCTGGGCACGGTGGCTCATGCCTATAATCCCAGCACTTTGGGAGGCCAAGGTGGGAGGATAGCTTGAGGCCAGGAGTTTGAGACCAGTCTGGGCAACATGGCGCAACTCTGTCTCTACTAAAAATACAAAATTAGCTGGGCATGATGGCACGCGCCTGTAGTCCCAGCTACTTGAGGGGCTGAGGCAAGAGAATCACCTGAACCCAGGAGGCGGAGGTTGCAGTGAGCCAAGATCGCGCCACTGTACTCCCACCTGGACAACAGAGCGAGACACTGTCTAAACAAACAAACAAAAAACCCTAGCGTATAGTTTTAGGGACCCTTCCCAGGACTGACTCCCTCTATCCTTGGCCCCAGTGTCGCACAGCAGGCATGCCTTCCCATGCATGGCACTGGACAGCCACACCCCAGCTCAGGAGGTCTACTGACCTCAAAAGCCAGGGAGACTGCACCTGGCCTGGGGACTCTGGGTCACTCGTGCCTCTCCCGCTTGTGGTCCCAGCAGACTCGGATTCTCTGGACTCGCCCAACCCATCGTCGGCGCTCACCTCCCTGCAGTGGGTGGCGGAGATCCTGCCGTCCAGTATCCGGGTCCAAGGGAGGACCTTCAGCCAGCAGCTGGAGCACCTGCTCACGCCTCCTGAGCGCTATGGGGTCTGCCGGGCCCTCGAGAGCTTCTTCCAGCACAGGTGGCCAGACCAAAGCCGCGGTGGGGACCTGCCCTGGGTGGGCCCTAAGTCCTACCTAGACTCACATCCTAGTCTCCCTGCCTGAGCCTCCTCAGTCCCATTCTCCTGGGGGATGCTCAGGAAGGTGGCAGCTGGTATCGGGGTCCCAGGGTGGTGGGCAACTGAGCTGCCCTGGAACAATCTCTGACTTGACACCTCCTAGCCACGTGACCTTGGGTGAGTCTCAGCCTTCTCTGTGAAGTGAGGCAGACAGGGACCACCCGCAACATTCTTTTTTATTTTTTGAGATGGAGTCTCGCTCTATCACCCAGCTGGAATGCAGTGGTATAATCTCGGCTCACTGCAACCTCCACCTCCTGGGTTCGAGCGATTCTCCTGCCTCAGCCTCCTGAGTAGCTGGGATTACAGGCATGCGCCACCACACCTGGCTAATTTTTTTGTGTTTTTACTAGAGATGGGGTTTCACCATGTTGTCCAGGCTGGTCTCAAACTCCTGACCTCGTGATCTGCCCACCTCGGCCTCCCAAAGTGCTGGGATTACAGGCGTGAGCCACTGCGCCCGGCCTTACCTGCAGCATTCTTGATGGGACCTTCACCAGAGCCCCACCTGTGGGCATTTGTCATGGGCCAGGCCCTTCCGGGTAGGGTTGCTGTCTTTCTTTTTGGACCTCAGCTGCAGCCAGCTGCATTTATCACACTCCTCAGTCCATGGGTCATTATTATGGTCTCTGCAAAGCCTGTCACTTGTCCATACCTTTTTGTTTTGTTTGAAGGGTTTTTTGGGGGTTTTTTTTGTTTGTTTTTTGAGATGGATTTTCGCTCTTTTTGCCCAGGCTGGAGTGCAGTGGTGCAATCTCGGCTCACCGCAACCTCCACCTCCCAGGTTCAAGTGATTCTCCTGCCTCAGCCTCCCAAGTAGCTGGGATTACAGGCATGCGCCACCATGCCTGGCTAATTTTGTTTTTTTTTGTTTTGTTTTTTTTTTTTTGAGACGGAGTCTCACTCTGTCGCCCGGGCTGGAGTGCAGTGGCGCAATCTCGGCTCACTGCAAGCTCCGCCTCCCAGGTTCCCGCCATTCTCCTGCCTCAGCCTCCCGAGTAGCTGGGACTACAGGCGCCCCCCACCTCGCCCGGCTAATTTTTTTGTATTTTTTTAGTAGAGACGGGGTTTCACCGTGTTAGCCAGGATGGTCTTGATCTCCTGACCTCGTGATCCACCTGTCTCGGCCTCCCAAAGTGCTGGGATTACAGGCTTGAGCCACCGCGCCCGGCCCTAATTTTGTATTTTTAGTAGAAACGGGGTTTCTCCATGTTGCCCAGGCTGGTCTCGAACTCCCGACCTCAGGTGATCCGTCTGCTTTAGCCTGCCAAAGTGCTGGGATTACAGGCGTGAGCCACCGTGCCCGGCCTGGTTTTGTTTTTTAAAAAAGATGGGGAGATCTCACTATGTTACCCAGGCTGGTCTCGAACTCCTGGGCTCGAGTGATCCTCCCAACGTGCTGGGGTTACAGGCATGAGCCACTGTACCTGACTCTGAAGAGTCTTAAGATGTAATTCACATACTATACAATTTGCCATTTAATTATACAATTCAGTGGTTTTTACTTTATTCACAAATACGTGCAAACATCACCAAGGTCCATTTTAAAACTTCATGACATCAAAAAGAAACCCAGGCCAGACATCTATAATCCCAGCACTTTGGGAGGCTGAGGCAGGAGGATCGCTTGAGCCCAGGAGTTCAAAACCAGCCTGGGCAACAGAGCAAGAAGCCATCTCTACAAAAAGAAAAAATTAGCTGGGCGTGGTGGTGTGCACCTGTAGTTCCAGTTACTTGGGAGGCTGAGGCGGGAGGTTCGCTTGAGCCCAGGGGTTCAAGGCTGTAGTGAGCAGTGATTGTGCCACTGCATTCCATCTTGGGTGACAGAGTGAGTCCTTGTCTCAAAAAAGAAAAAAGAGAAAAACAGGCCGAGTGCGGTGGGTCACACCTGTTATCCTAACACTTTGGGAGGCTGAGTTGGGCAGATTGCCTGAGCTCAGGAGTTTGAGACCATCCTGGGCAACATGGTGAAACTCCGTCTTTACTGAAATACAAAAAATTAGCTGGGCCTGGTGGTGGGCACCTGTAGTCCCAGCTACTTGGGAGGCTGAGGCAGGAGAATCACTTGAACCCAGGAGGCAGAGGTTGCAGTGAGCCAAGATCACGCCACTGCTCTCCAGCCTGGGTGACAGAACGAGACTTTGTCTCCAAAAAAGAAAAAAAAAATCATTGTGCTTTATATCATGTTTTGTGTCTGACTTATTCACCAGTTACTATGTGTTTAGCTCTGTCCACATTACTCTGTGTATATTTCATACATTGATTATAACTATAGCCAGATTCCTTTAGATCACAGTGGTGTCCAACTTTTTATTTTTGCTAGTTTCTTTTTTTTAATTTTTATTTATTTGAGATGGAATCTCACTCTGTCATCTGGCTGGAGTACAGTGATGTGATCTTGGCTCACTGCAACCTCCACCTCCCAGGTTCAAGCAATTCTCCTGCCTCAGCCTCCCGAGTAGCTGGGACTACAGGCACTCTCCACTACGCCCAGCTAATTTTTGTATTTTTAGTAGAGACGGGGTTTCACCATATTGGCCAGGGTGGTCTTGATCTCTTGACCTCATGATCTGCCCGCTTTGGCCTCCCAAAGTGCTGGGATTACAGGCGTGAACCACTGTGCCTGGCCTATTTGTGTTAGTTTCTTAGCCATAAAAGTGACATCCTGTTTTTATTTGGTTTTCTTCTATTACTATCTATTTTATTTATTTATTTATTTATTTATTTATTTTGAGACAGAGTCTCGCTCTGTCACCCAGGCTGGAGTGCAGTGGCGTGATCTTGGCTCACTGCAAGCTCCGCCTCCCGGGTTCATGCCATTCTCCTGCCTTAGCCACCCGAGTAGCTGGGACTACAGGCTCCCGCCACCACGTCCAGCTAATTTTTTGTATTTTTAGTAGAGACGGGGTTTCACCGTGTTAGCCAGGATGGTCTCAATCTCCTGACCTCGTGATCTGCCCGCCTCGGCCTCTCAAAGTGCTGGGATTACGGGTGTGAGCCACCACACCCGGCCTTCTATTACTAATTATTTTAAGCGTCTTTTAATATGCTTGTGAACTTTTTCTGGAATTTTCTCTGTAAATTACCTGTTCATACCCTTTGTCCATTTTTGTTTTCTTGGATTTTTGTCCTTGTTGACTGGCATGAAGTTTCTTGTATATTTTATTTTATTTCATTTTGTTTATTTTCTGAGACAGGGTCTCACTCTGTCACCCAAGCTGGAGTGCAGTGGTACAAACACAGCTCACAGCAGCCCCGAACTCCCAGGCTAAAGTGATCCTTGTGCCTCTGCCCCCCAGGTAGCTGGGACTACAGGCGCTCACCTACCATGCCCAGCTAATTTTTGTTTGTTTGTTTGTTTGTTTTGTTTTGTTTAGTAGAGTCAGGGTTTTGCCATGTTGCCCAGACTGGTCTTGAACTCCTGGGCTCAAGTGATTTGCCCATTTTAGCCTCCTAAAGTGCTGAAATTACAGGCATGAGCCACTGCCCCCAGCCCCTTGTATATTTTGTTTTATTTATTTATTTATTTTGAGGCAGAGTCTTGCTCTGTTGCCCAGGCTGGAGTCCAGTGGCGCAATCTCAGCTCACTGCAACCTCTGACTCCGCAGTTCAAGTGTTTCTCCTGCCTCAGCCTCCCAAGTAGCTGGGATTACAGGCGCCCACCACCATGCCTGGCTAATTTTTGTACTTTTAGTAGACATGGGGTTTCACCATGTTGGCCAGGCTGGTCTCGGACTCCTGACCTCAGGTGATTCCTCTGCCTTAACCTCCCAAAGTGCTGGGATGACTGGTGTGAGCCACGACAGCTGGACACCTTTGTATATTTTAGATACTGATTTCTCCTTGATTTTGCATGTTGTAAATTTCTCTCCCATTTGTTACTTCTGTTGTTAGGTCTGTTGTGTCTAATTTTAATGTGTCTATGTTGGGCTTCCTTGAATAGATAACCTTGCTTTTGCATAATCAAACTCGCCACATTTTTGGTCCTATAGTTTTGTGTAGGGTCCAGCCCTACAGGGCCTGTGTGTTTTTCTCTTCGTGTGTGGAGACGAGAGATCGTAGAAATAAAGACACAAGACAAAGAGATAGAAGAAAAGACAGCTGGGCCCGGGGGACTACTACCACCAAAACGCAGAGACCAGTAGTGGTCCCGAATGCCTGGCCGTGCTGTTATTTATTGTGTACAAGGCAAAGGGGCAGGGCATGGAGTGAGAGCCATCTCCAATGATAGGTAAGGTCATATGAGTCACGTGTCCACCAGACAGGGGGCCCTTCCCTATTTGGTAGCTGAGGTGGAGAGAAAGAGGGGACAACTTACGTCATTATTTCTTCTTTTTTTTTTTTTTGAGACGGAGTCTCGCTCTGTTGCCCAGGCTGGAGTGCAGTGGCATGATCTGGGCTCACTGCAAGCTCCGCCTCCCAGGTTCACGTCATTCTCCTGCTTCAGCCTCCCGAGTAGCTGGGACTACAGGCGCCCGCCACCTCGCCCGGCTAGTTTTTTGTATTTTTTTTAGTAGAGACGAGGTTTCACCGTGTTAGCCAGGATGGTCTCGATCTCCTGACCTCGTGATCCACCCGTCTTGGCCTCCCAAAGTGCTGGGATTACAGGCTTGAGCCACCGTGCCCGGCCGTCATTATTTCTTCTATGCATTTTTTTTTTTTTTTTTTTTTTTTGAGGCAGAGTCTCGCTCTGTCGCCCAGGCTGGAGTGCAGTGGCCGGATCTCAGCTCACTGCAAGCTCCGCCTCCCAGGTTTACGCCATTCTCCTGCCTCAGCCTCCCGAGTAGCTGGGACTACAGGCGCCCGCCACCTCGCCCGGCTAGATTTTTGTATTTTTTAGTAGAGACGAGGTTTCACCGTGTTAACCAGGATGGTCTCGATCTCCTGACCTCGTGATCCGCCCGTCTCGGCCTCCCAAAGTGCTGGGATTACAGGCTTGAGCCACCGCGCCTGGCCTCTTCTATGCATTTTAAAGACTTTAGTACTTTCACTAATTCTGCTACTGCTATCTAGAGGTGGAGCTGGGTGTACAGGGCAGAACATGAAAGCGGACCAGGAGCGTGACCACTGAAGCACAGCATCACAGGGAGACTATTAGGCCTCTGGATGGCTGGGGGCGGGCCTGACTGATGGCAGGCCTTCCACAAGAAGTGGTGGAGCAGAGTCTTCTCTAACTCTCCCGGGAAAGATAGACTCCCTTTCCTGGTCTGCTAAGTAACGGGTGCCTTCCCAGGCACTGGCGTTACCGCTAGACCAAGGAGCCCTCTAGTGGCCCTGTCCAGGCGCAACAAAGGGCTCACACTAGTCTTTCTTTTTTTTTTTTTCTTTTTTTTGAGACGGAGTCTCGCTCTGTCGCCCAGGCTGGAGTGCAGTGGCCAGATCTCAGCTCACTGAAAGCTCCACCTCCCGGGTTTACGCCATTCTCCTGCCTCAGCCTCCCGAGTAGCTGGGACTTCAGGCGCCCGCCACCGCGCCCGGCTAGTTTTTTGTATTTTTTAGTAGAGACGGGGTTTCACCATGTTAGCCAGGATGGTCTTGATCTCCTGACCTCGTGATCCGCCTGTCTCGGCCTCCCAAAGTGCTGGGATTACAGGCTTGAGCCACCGCGCCCGGCCCACACTAGTCTTTTGATCACTTCTCACCGTGTTCCTTCAGCTCCTATCTCTGTATGGCCTGGTTTTTCCTAGGTTATAATTGTAGAACAAAGATTATTATAATATTGGAATAAACAGTAATGCTATAAACTAATGATTAATAATATTCACATATAATCATATCTATAATCTATTTCTAGTATAACTATTCTTATTCTATATATTTTCTTTATTATACTGGAAGAGCTTGTGCCCTCAGTCTCTAGCCTTGGCACCTGGGTGACTTGCTGCCCACAGTTTTGGCTTTTGAATTTTTTTTTTTTTTTTTTTGAAACGGAGCCTCGCTCTGTCCCCCAGGCTGGAGTGCAGTGGCACTATCTCGGCTCACTGCAAGCTCCACCTCCCGGGTTTACGCCATTCTCCTGCCTCAGCCTCCCGAGTAGCTGGGACTACAGACGCCCGCCACCATGCCCGGCTAATTTTTTGTATTTTTAGTAGAGACGGGGTTTCACCGTGTTCGCCAGGATGGTCTCGATCTCCTGGACTCGTGATCTGCCTGCCTCGGCCTCCCAAAGTGCTGGGATTACAGGCGTGAGCCACTGCACCCGGCCTGGCTTTTGAAATTTTAAATTCTTCCCTGCTTCTGGGTCAAAAGATGTTCTCCTACTTCTTTATTTATTTATTTATTTGTTTATTTATTTATTTATTATTTTGAGACGAGGTCTTGCTCTGTTGCCCAGGCTGGAGTGCAATGGCATGATCTCAGCTCATTGCAACCTCCGCCTCTCGGGTTCAAGCGATTCTCCTGCCTCAGCCTCCCCAGTGGCTGGGACTACAGGCATGTGCCACCACGCCTGGCTAATTTTTTTTTTTCTTTTTTTTTTTTGAGACGGAGTCTCGCTCTGTCGCCCAGGCTGGAGTGCAGTGGCGCGATCTCGGCTCACTGCAAGCTCCGCCTCCCGGGTTCACACCATTCTCCTGCCTCAGCCTCCTGAGTAGCTGGGACTACAGGCGCCCACAACCGCGCCCGGCTAATTTTTTGTATTTTTAGTAGAGACGGGGTTTCACCGTGGTCTCGATCTCCTGACCTTGTGATCCGCCCGCCTCGGCCTCCCAAAGTGCTGGGATTACAGGCGTGAGCCACCGCGCCCGGCCTGGCTAATTTTTTTATTGTTAGTAGAGAGGGGTTTTCGCCACATTGGCCAGGCTGGTCTCGAACTCCTGAGCTCATGATCCACCCACCTCAGCCTCCCAAGGTGCTGGGATTATAGGCATGAGCCACCGTGCGTGGCCTGCTCTATATGTTTTTTGTGTTTTTGAGACAGAGTCTTGCTCTGTCACCCAGGCTGGAGTGCGGTGGCGCAATCTCAGCTCACTGCAACCTCCACCTCCCAGTTTAAGCGATTCTCCTACCTCAGCCTCCTGAGTAGCTGGTACTACAGGTACATGCCACCACGCCCAGCTAATTTTTGTATTTTTAGTAGAGAGGGGGGTTTCACTAAGTTGGCCAGACTGGTCTCGAACTCCCGATCTGAGGTGATCCAGCCACCCTCAGCTTCCCAAAGTGCTGGGATTACAGTCATGAGCCACCATGCCTCGCCTCTTCTATACGTTTTAATCTTCACAACAGCTCTATGAGGTAGATGCTATTTTTATCCCCATTTTACAGATGAGGAAACTGAGTCACAGAGAAGGTAAGTCACTTGAGAAAGGTCACTTAGCTGGTAAGTGGCAGAGCTGAGATTGGAGTCTGGCTACCCTATCCCTGGAGCCTGCCTTCCTGCCCACTTCTCTCTCTCTTTTTTTTTTTTTTTTTTTTTGAGTCAGAGTCTCACTCTGTCTCGCAGGCTGGAGTGCAGTGACACGATCTCAGCTCACTGCAACCTCCACTTCCCAGGCTTAAGCAATTCTCCTGCCTCAGCCTCCCGAGTAGCTGGGCTTACAGGTGTGCACCACCACGCATGGCTAATTTTTGTATTTTCAGTAGTGACGGGGTTTCACCATGTTGGCTGGGCTGGTCTCGAACTCCTGACCTCAAATGATCCACCTGCCTCGGCCTCTCAAAGTTTTGGGATTACAGGCGTGAGCCACTGTGGCCAGCCCCCCCTTCTGTCTTTCAAGGGCAGGGATAGAGCATGAGGGCAGACACTGTGGCTTGGAAGTCCCGTCTTGTCTACCCCCACTCTGTGCATCATAGTAAGCCCGTGAGTACTGAGCCTCTCGTTCCTGCACCTTCCCCCAGGAACATTGACACCCTCATCGTTGACGTCTACCCTGTGCTGGACACCCCTGCCAAGCAGGTCCTGTGGCAGTTCATCTACCAGCTGCTGACCTATGAGGAGCAGGAGCTCTGCCAGGAGAAAATCGCATGCTTCCTGGGCTACACGGCCATGACAGGTAAGCGTCCTCTCCCCTGCCACTTCCCTGCCTGTAGCTGCTGACTGTCCAGCTCACCAGGTGAACATCCAGACACCTGTTCTCACCTGTGAAGTTTTTTTTGGTTGTTGTTTGTTTGAGACGGAGTCTCGCTCCTGTGCCCCAGGCTGGAGTGCAATGGTGCGATCTCGACTCGCTGCAGCCTCCACCTCCCCGGTTCAAGCGATTCTCCTGCCTGAGCCTCCTGAGTAGCTGGGACTAAAGGCGCATGCTACCACACCCAGATAATTTTTTGTATTTTTAGTAGAGAAGAGGTTTCACTGTGTTAACCAAGATGATCTCTATCTCCTGACCTCATGATCCGCCCTCCTTGGCCTCCCAAAGTGCTGGGATTATAGGTGTGAGGCACCACACCCGGCCCTTTTTTTTTTTTTTTTTGGAGATGGGGTCTTGCTCTGTTGCCCAGGCTGGAGTGTCATGGTGCCATCACGGCTCACCGCAGCCTCAACCTCCTGGGCTCAAGCAATCTTCCCACCCTGGCATCCCAAAGCACAGGGATTACAGGTGTGAGCCACTGCATGTGGCCTCACCTATGGGGTCTTACAGCTGATTTGGGCTCCTCCCACATAGATGTGTCCACAGCCATGCTCGTACACACCCACAATACACCAGGGCTAGGCCCACATGTGGCCCCACGGATGTGCCTTCCCAGCGTGACCTTTATGTGGCGTACACAGCATAACCTGAGACTTTAGACACTGCACCTGACCACCTATGGTTTCAGTATTTGCACCCACAAAATGGAAGTGATCTCAGCGGCTGTGCTCGGTACTCTGAGAAGCGTGGCACAGATCAAGGAACTTGTGTAAGGCTGGATGCGCTGGCTCACGCCTATAATCCCAGCGTTTTAGAAGGCTGAGGTGGGAGGATCACTTGAGCTCAGGAGTTCAAGATTAGCCTGGGCAACATAGCAAGAGCCTGTCTCTACCAAAAAAATAAATAAACAAATAATACATTTTAATTTAGCCAGGTGTAATGCACAACTGTAGTCCCGGCTAGCTGGGAGGCTGAGGTGGGAAGATGGCTTGAGTCCAGGAGATCGAGGCTGCGGTGAGCTATGATCGAGCTACTGCCCTCAAAAAAAAAAAAAAAAGAAGAAGAAGAAGAAGAAAGAAAAGAAAAAAAAAGAAATTCATGTGGTTGCCGTTTACAGACATGCCAACACCATCACCAGGATTGTGAGCCCACAACCGCATCCCACCTGGCCAGTGGCTCCCAGTGTACTCTTTCTTGCACATACACAGGCCTGCGGTGCCACGTGTGGCTGCCACCAGTGTGTTCAGTGTGCCCTTTGAATGCCCACAAACCCCTGCACTCAGCATGCAGGCCATGTGGATGGAAGGTGTGCGGAACTTGTGTTCTACCCTGGTCTAGGCACCCTGCCCCTGCTATGAAACCCGCTGCAGGCCAGGCTCGGTAGCTCACGCCGGTAATCCCAGCACTTTGGGAGGCTGAGGTGGGCGGATTGCTTGAGGTCAGGAGTTCAAGACCAGCTTGGGCAACACAACGAGACCCCCATATCTACAAAATACTTAAAAATCAGCCAGGGGTGGTTGGGCATGGTGGCTCACGTCTGTAATCCTAGCAGTTCGGGAGGCCGAGGCAGGTGGATCACTTGAGGTCAGAAGTTTGAGACCAGCTTTGCCAACTGGGGCAACCTCGTCTCTATCAAAAATACAAAAATAAGCCAAGCGTGGTGGCACGCACCTGTAATCCCAGCTACTTGAGAGGCTGAGGCAGGAGAATCACTTGAACCCGGGAGATGGAGGTTATAGTGAGCTGAGATCGCACCACTGCACTCCAGTCTGGGTGACATAGCGAGACTCCATCTCAAAAAAAAAAAAAAAAAAAAAAATCAAAAATTAGCCAGGTGTGGTGGCGTGCACCTGTAGTCCCAGCTACTTGGGAGGATGAGGTGGGAGGAGCACTTGAGTTCAGTAGTTGGAGACCAGCCTGGGCAACATAGCAAGATCCCTTCTCTAAAAAAAAAAAAAAAATTTAATTAGCTGGGTATGGTGGCATGCACCTGTAATCCCAGCTACTGGGGAGGCAGGAGGGTCTCTTGAGCCTGGAATTCAAGGCTGCACTTAGCCTTGATCGCACTCCAACCTGGGGGACAGAGTGAGACCTGTCTAAAAAAAAAAAAAATGGCAGGCGTGGTGGCTCACATCTGTAATCCCACAGCACTTTGGGAGGCTGAGGCGGGTGGATCACCTGAGATCAGGAGTTCAAGACCAGCCTGGCCAACATGGTGAAACACCATCTCTACTGAAAAAAAAATACAAAATATTAGCCAGGTGTGGTGGTGCATGCCTGTAGTCTCGGCTACTTGGGAGGCTGAGGCTCGGGAATCATTTGAACCCAAGAGGCGGAGGTTGCAGTGAGCTGAAATTATGCACTCCAGCCTGGAGGAGAAAGCCAGACAGGAAGGTAGAAAGGAAGGGAGGGAGGGAGGGAGGGAGGGAAGGAAGCCAGACTCAGTTGAAAAGGAAGGGGAGGGGAGGGGAGAGGAGGGGATGGAGGGGAGGGGAGGGGAAGGGAGGGGAGGGGAGGGGAAGGGAGGGGAGGAGCTGCTGCAGAGTTGCTGTGCCCATGAGCTGCAGTCCCAGGGACCCACAACTTGCTAGGGTTTTAGCAAGAAGCCTGGGCTCCGTGCTGGACAGCACATGTCTTACATATCTGCCTAAGCTCAAAAAACTTCTATTTTGGCCGGGAGCAGTGGCTCATGCCTGTAATCCCAGCACTTTGGGAGGCTGAGGTGGGTGCATCACCTGAGGTCAGGAGCTTGAGACCAGCCTGGCCAACATGGTGAAACCCTGTCTCTACTAAAAATACAAAAATTAGCCATGCGTGGTGATGGACGCCTGTAATCCCAGCTACTCGGGAGGCAGAGGCAGGAGAATCGCTTAAACCTGGGAGGTGGCGGTTGCAGAGAGCTGAGATTGCGCCACTGCACTCCAGCCTGGGCAATAAAAGCAAAACTAAGTCTAAAAAAAAAAAAAAAAGCAAAAAAAAAAAAAACCTATTTTGCCCATAATCCTCTCTGGGCAGCAGTGACTTGGCCTGGGGCAAGCACAGGGAGTTGAGACTCTGGAAGCTGTTGTCATGAGATCTCTGCTAGGCCCCCGAGCTCAGGCTCGCTGCATTTTGGTGCCACTCCTGGCACCTGGTTTCTTGCCCCGGGGCTTCCCCTCAAGAGCTGTTCTGGAGGCAAGCAGGGCAGACCCCATAGCCTGGGGTCCACATATTGGTGCAGATGACATCTGCCCTCCCCTCTCTGTTTTGGAGGTCCCTTGTCTGGCTGAGAGGACAAGAGGGCCCCATATTCCCTGCATGTCCCACAGCAGAGCCGGAGCCTGAGCTGGACCTGGAGCCGGAGCCCACACCCGAGCCCCAGCCGCGGAGCTCCATGCGGGCTTCCTCCATGTGCCGCCGCAGCCTCCGGTCCCAGGGCCTGGAGGCTGGCCTCAGCTGCGGTAAGGCCGGTGTCGGGGGGAGGGTATGAAAGGAGCTCAGTTTTTCCACCTGCAAAATGGGCTTGGTGAGGTGGGGAATCCCAGGGAATGGGGCTAAGCAGGGCTCAGGATTGGCCCTCCTGGGTCTGTGGGGCCTGTTGGTTCTGGGCCGGGGCCTGAGCCTTAGAGCTCAGATACATTACCGTACAGACATCGTTACCGTAATGACATTGTTCCTCGGTAGGTCCTGGCGAGTGCCCTGAGATGCCTCTTCCCCTGATCCCAGGCGAGCGCCAAGCGGGCGATGGCACTTCCCTCCCTGAGACCCCCAACCCCAAGATGGTGAGACCTTCTCACTGCCCTCCAGGTGGGGTCAATAGGGGGCGGGGAATGGACGGTCCGTAGAACTGGGCCCAGGAGACCCAGGCCAAGGGGCTGCTTCAGGCTGGGGCAGATCCCTGCCTCCCGGCCCACCCAGGCCTGGCCTCTGAGGCCACATTAGGGCCATGAGGAGAAGTAGGGTGGGCTGGACTCACCCCCGCCTCCCTCCAGATGTCAGCCGTCTATGCAGAGCTCGAGTCTCGACTGAACAGCAGCTTCAAAGGGAAGATGGGGACCGTGTCCAAATCCCGGGCTTCCCCTCCGGGCCCCAGCCCGGCAGTCACCGCAGGTAGGGCTCCAGCCTCTGTCCTCTTGACTGTCCGGGTGTTTCCCTCCACCCCAGGCTCAGCCCTGGAGCTGCTTCTCTGCTCCATCAGGGTCAGGGTTGTCCCAGTCCCTCCCATGGCCCTGTGACCCTCACCTCAGCTGTGGATCAAGACAGTAGCCTGGGTACCGTGGGTTGTGCCTGTAATCCCAGCACTTTGGGAGGCCAAGGCAGGAGGATCAGTTGAGCCCAGGAGTTTGAGACCACCCTGGCAACATAGTGAGACCCCATCTCTACAAAAAAAAAAAAAAAAATTAGCTGGGCATGGTTGCGTATGCCTGTAGTCCTAACTCCTCAAGAGGCTGAGCTGGGAGGATCACTTGAGCCCAGGAGTTCAAGGCTGCAGTGAGCTGTGATCGAGCCCCTGCACTCTAGCCTGTAAGCAACAGAGCAAGACCCTATCTTAAAAAAGAAAAAGAGGCCGGACGCTGTGGCTCACGCCTGTAATCCCAACACTTTGGGAGGCTGAGGCGGGTGGATCACGAGGTCAGGAGATTGAGACCATCCTGGCTAACATGGTGAAACCCTGTCTGTACAAAAAATACAAAAAAATTAGCCGGGTGTGGTGGCACGTGCCTATAGTCCCAGCTACTCAGGAGGCTGAGGCAGGAGAATTGCTTGAACCCGAGAGGCAGAGGCTGCAGTGAGCTGAGATTGCACTACTGCACTCCAGCCTGGGCAACAGCGAGAATCTGTCTCAAAAAAAAAAAAAAAAAAAAGAAAGAAAAAGAAGGCAGATGTTGGCAGATGACTGTTTCTGAAGAAGTCCCCGAGTTAGCAAGGGGTTATTGGATAAACTATCGAGTGCACGTGTTGTCCTGTGAATGGCACAGCTGGGAAGACAGTTGCTCTGCAGCTCAGAAGGCAGGACCCCTGGGAGATCCTCCTGTCATCTCAGGGCTTTCTGGGCATGCGAGATGCCCCGTGACTCTGGGTCTGGGCCCTAGAGAAGCCCCTCCACCCTTTGAGTTAGTGGTGTTCAGTGGCTCCCAGCTGGGACCCCTCGTGACCATTCCAAGGTGAGCTGGCATCCAGCCTGTCCTGAGGCTGAACAATGCTCCTGCTCACTGGGTCTGGCCTTTGGTCATGCTTGGAAGGCAGGGCCGCCCAGGGTCTTCCTGCACTGTGCCCAGAGAGGGAAAGGGGCCCTCTCTCCAGCTTGCACCTGGAACCCCAGTGCTGGCTGAAGAGGAATCCTCATACTCCATCCCCCCTCCAGGGCCCAGGACCCTGTCCGGCGTCTCGTGGCCCAGCGAGCGACTCTTGCCCTCCCCCTGCTACCACCCGCTGTGTTCAGGGGGTCTGGCCTCCCCCAGCAGCTCTGAGTCCCACCCCTACGCCAGCCTGGACAGCAGCAGGGCGCCCTCCCCACAGCCAGGCCCCGGGCCCATCTGCCCTGACAGCCCCCCAAGCCCGGACCCCGCCCGCCCGCCCAGCCGCAGGAAGCTCTTCACCTTCTCCCACCCTGTGCGAAGCCGTGATACTGACCGCTTCCTGGACGTGCTGAGCGAGCAGCTGGGCCCCCGGGTCACCATCGTGGATGATTTCCTGACCCCCGAGAATGACTACGAGGAGGTGGGCACGCAAGCAGGTGTGGAGGGAGGTGGGTGAGGCAAGGTGTGGCGGTCCGCAAAGCAATAGTGTTCCTGGGCTCCTGAAGGGGCCTGCTGCCCTTGGGATCTTCCCCAGGCTATCCCACTCCCTGGCTCAAGCTATCCCACTCCTTGCCCCAGGTTACCCTATCTCCTGTTTGAGGTTATCATGCTCCTTGTCTGAGGTTAGCCCGTATTCACTGTCCCAGGTTAGCCCATTCCTTAGCTCAGGCTATCCCACCCACAGCCTGAGGCTAACCTGTAAGAGGGTCCTATCCTTATTCCAGGCTATCCCCCTCACACCCTGAGGCTAACCCATGAGAGGGTCCTATCCTTAGCCCATGCTATGCCCCTCACAGCTTGAGGCTAACCCATGAGACAGTCCTATCCTTATCCTAGGCTGTCCCCCTCACAGGCTGATGCTAACCCGTGAGACAGCCCTATCCTTGTCCCAGGCTATCCCATGATCCTTCACTTTGCACCTGCTGTAGTCTCTCTGGGCCCAGCCTCACCCTCCCCTTGCCTCTCTCCCCACCACCAGATGAGCTTCCATGATGACCAGGGCAGCTTCGTAACCAATGAGCGGAGCAGCGCCAGCGACTGTGTCAGCAGCAGTGAAGAAGGCAGCTCCCTGACCTACTCCTCCATCTCTGACCACATCCCCCCACCCCCACTCAGCCCCCCTCCACCACCACCCCTGCCTTTCCATGACCCCAAGCCCAGCTCCCGCGGCTCTGATGGTTCCCGGGGCCCTGCTCAGGCGCTGACCAAGCCCCTCACCCAACTCAGCCACCCAGTCCCTCCACCACCCCCACCGCCCCTGCCTCCACCTGTGCCCTGTGCACCCCCCATGCTGTCCCGGGGCCTGGGCCACCGGCGCAGTGAGACCAGCCACATGAGTGTCAAGCGCTTGCGGTGGGAACAGGTGGAGAACTCAGAAGGCACCATCTGGGGTCAGGTGGGTGACCTGGGACCCACCAGTGCTCTGTACTGGGGGAGGATGGCTTGGGCAGCATCACTGAAGGAAAACCCATCTACCAGGCATCTTCCAACATCATACTCCCTACCCCAAGCAGAGGATGAGTAGACGCCCAGCCCAAGGACATCTCCATGCTTGGGGGCCATTGCAGGCATTGAAGCCAATCTATGTCCCTAAGCCAACGACACACACTGGGGACACCTGGAAATGCCCCCATACCCATCCTTGAAACCTATCGCTCTTGAGGCCACACGAGTTCTCTTAAACCCTTAAAAGAGCAGCTGGTTCAAACTCCTACACACCAGCCTTCACCCTTTCACTTTGATGCTTGAATTTCCTCCCGCACAACACTGCCAGGGTATGCTTGAACACCTTCAGTGATGGGGAACTCACTACCTGTCAAGGTCTTCCTTTCCTCACTGGACAATTTTAACCATCCTTTGTCTTGCTCTGAAATCTTGTCTCCCCAGGATTCCCATGCCCTGTTTTCTTTCTGGCCCTTGAAATCAGGCAGAGCAATCTTATCCACAGACCAAACAATCTGCAAGATGAACAAGGTTCACCCCACCTCTTTTTTTTTCAGGTCATTCTCTTAGAATGTGGTTTCCAGCCCCCACTCCAGTGTCCATGTCCCTGTCAAAGAGACATTCCCAGATGGAACCCCCAATGGGGGTTCCAGCTCAGAGGAGAGAACAGGGTTCTCACTTCCTTTGACCCAGACATCATACTCCTTTTAATATGGCAGGGACTCCTTCCAGCTCCTGAGGCTGCCCCAACCCAGCGCTCATGCTCACCATCATCCTCAACTGCATCTTCTTGGGATCCATAACACGCTCTCACGTGTAGTCACACTGGGCAGAAGCATGCTTGTGATTTTTTCCCCACTGCCATCTCCTGGGTCCCAGTTCTGTCTCCTGCCTTCTCAGCCAAGATATAATCAGCCCACATCTCCAGGGACCCTTTCCAAGTTGCTAATAAAGATGCTCAGTGAGGCCAGTCTTGGTGGTTCATGCCTGTAATCCCAGCACTTTGGGAGGCTGAGGTGGGAGGACTGCTTGAGCCCAGGAGTTCAAGGCAAGCCTGGGCAACATAGTGAGATCTCGTCTCTACAAAGAATTCAAAAAATTAGCCGGACATGGTGGTGCATGCCTGTGGTCCCAGCTACTCGGGAGGCTGAAGAGGGAGGATCACTTGATTCCCAGAGGTGGAGGTTGCAGTAAGCCAAGATGGCACCACTGCAGTTCAGCCTGGGGTACAGAGTGAGACCCTATCTCAAAAAAAAAAAACAAAACAAAACTCAGACAAGGGCACAAATAGGGACCTCCTGAGTCCCCTGGAGACCTCACTCCTGCCAACCTTAAACCAGTCTCCAAGTCTTGCTCCACAGCGTGGTTCTTCCTTTGGTTACCAAAGGCGGAGACAGGGACACAGGTCACACATCTGGCCAAACCCAAATCCATCCTCAGTGTCCCTGCCCTGCAGCTGTGTTCTAAGACTTCATTCCCCTGCCTGCCCTCCCTTTGGGTCGTCTCCCTTTGGCAGGCACCCCATCCTCACTCCCTGTCCCAGCCCCAGGCTGTCACCTCTCATCTATGCCATTCATCACAGCCACGTGTCCAGCATCTGGCCCTTAGGCTGTCACAGCTGCAGTTCTCCCTGCAGCAGCTCACTCTGCCCAGGGCAGCCCTGGTGAACTCACCGCCCTCCAAGGAGACCTAATGACAGAGCCAGACCCCTGAGCCACCTCCGGTAGCCCCTTACTTGGCTCTAGCCTCTTCACAGCTCCTTCATGCCCCTGCTTCAGTCCCACCTTGCTGGCTTCTGCACGAGTAGAGTTCCAAGTCTTGAGTCTCGATTAACCCAAAGAGGCGCTGGCTCAGCACCCAGTGACTCGGATGATCTGGCTTTTTCTGCAGTCTCCTCCGGCTCTGGGCTTGATCCCAGCACCTGATGGGTGCTTTTGCTTGGGAAGTCCCCAGGGCGGCCCTCAGAGGGTGGGAAGTGGGAGTCCAGTCCAGCTGCTGCTGCTCTTCCTCCTCTGAACTTCCCATCTTCCCTGGCAGCTCGGGGAAGACTCCGACTACGACAAGCTGAGTGACATGGTGAAATACCTTGACCTGGAGCTCCACTTCGGCACCCAGAAACCTGCTAGTGAGTGGCCTGATGGCCTTAGGGGAACCCCAGATACCACACCATCTGTGACAGCCCCAGGCTTAGTATCTCCCAGGGCTGCACTGACTGCTATTTAACCTGATGTGTCCTCAAGCCTTCCATCCCTGAGTTATTTAATAGCTGGCATTTAGGCCGGGCACAGTGGCTCATGCCTGTCATCCCAGCACTTTGGGAGGCTGAGATGGGTGGATCACCTGAGCTCAGGAGTTCGAGACCAGCCTGGGCAACGTGGGAAAACCCCTGTCTCTACCAAAAATACAAAAAATTAGCCAGGCATGGTGGAGGATGCCTGTGGTTCCCAGCTACTTGGGAGGCTGAGTTGGGAGGATCAATTGAGCCTGGGAGGTGGAGGTTGCAGTGAGCCGTGATCACACCACTGCACTCCAACCTGGTAACCTGGGTGACCCAGTGAGACCCTGTCTCAAAAAAAAAAAAAAAAAAAAAAAAAGCTGGCATTTATTGTGCAGTGATCAAATACCAGGGACTCTAATTTCTAAATCCCATGGCAACTCTATGATGTACATACTGTGATCACCACCCACTTCCTCATGAGGAAGCACAGAGAGGTGAGGTAATTTGTTCACAGTCACACCGTAGACAGGGGGCATCCACAAATATATCTTCCAGGCTCCCTTGCCCTCACCCTTTCCTGGGTATCTCCCTGTCGTTGCTGGGTGGAACAGGCGGTCCCAGGATGGAACAGAAAGACCTGGCCTCCTGCAGCATGGAGGATGCACAGGGCACGGGGTGGGGGAGGTTACACACAGGACCTGAGGTCTGAGGGTCCCTGACCTGAGGAATGAGGGGACTATGGACATGCGTAGCTGATTAAGTCGAGGTCGTCCTTAGGGGGAATCGTGGCTGTTGGCTGTGGCCACACCACTCCTGGGCCTTCCCACTGCAGCCTCAGCCTAGCCCCCTTCGTAAACTGTCAGTTTCTTTTCCAGAACCGGTGCCGGGGCCGGAGCCCTTCCGGAAGAAGGAGGTGGTGGAGATCCTGTCCCATAAGAAGGCCTACAACACCTGTGAGGGTCCGGGGAACCCCAGAGGGTGTAGGGGGCAGGTGGCGGCCCTTTCTCTGGGTCTCAGACCTGCCCAGGTGGATGACAGAGATTAGGTGGTGGGGACCCGGACTCCAGTCGCTCAGCGCGGTGAAGGCCCCCTCCCAGGCCCCATAGCCAGCCAGATCCCACCTGGGCGCAGGTGCCGGCCCCGCCCTCACTGTGTAATCAACTCCCCGGTTCTGGCCCCGCCTCCAGCCTCATTCCCTCTCTCCTTCGCAGGCCCCGCCCTTGTCCCTGGCCCGACCCCCATAGGCTCCACCCAGCTCCTTAATCTAGCGCCTCGAGAACCCAGTCCTCACCCTTAAATCGGGCTATGAAAGACCGTCTCTATTTCAGGGCCCGCCCCTGCCCCGCCCCCTACGGCACCCCTCGCAGGCCCCGCCCCTGTTCCTTGTCTTCTCCATTCTGTCTCCTCCCTGTAGCCGAAGCCCATCTGGAAGGTCCGCCCTCTCCCTGCTGGTCCCCGCCCTCTACCCCAGCTCGATCTCAACCAGCAGCGCCGCTCCTTTTCCTTGCTCCTGCCCCCTCCAGGCTCCTCACAGTAGCCCAGGCCAATCCCAAAGCCCCGCCCTCTTTCCACCTGAGTCCCGCCCCAGTTTATCCTCGTAGACCCCGCCCTGTTCATTGTTCCCCACCCCTCTAGAGTTCCTCCAGTAGCCCAGGCCCCGCCCCAGCTCTCCCTCGCAGGTCTACCCGCTTTCCTTGTCCTCTGCCCCTTCAGATTCCCCCCTGTAGCCTGGGCCAACCTGGAAGCCCCGCCCTCTTCCTGCCGGGCCCCAACCTCTCCTTGCCCCTGCTCACCGATCGGCCCCGCCCCTTTTCCTTTTTTCTTCCCCTCCCAGGCTCCTCCCCTTAGCCCAGGCCAATCTTGAAGCGCCGTCCTCTCCCCACCCGGTACCCGCCTCAGCGCATCCTCTGGTCCCTGTCCGCGTTTCTGGTCCCTCCAGCCTCAAGGCCCCGCCCTCTCCCGTAGGCCCCGCCCCGTCCCCGCTTCTCTCCGCCTCTGCCCTCCCTCTCCGTCTTGGATCCCATCCTGCCCCGCCCCCGCCCCGCCCACTCACCGCGCCGCCCCGCCCGCAGCCATCCTCCTGGCTCACCTGAAGCTGAGCCCCGCGGAGCTGCGCCAGGTGCTGATGAGCATGGAGCCCCGGCGCCTGGAGCCCGCGCATCTGGCGCAGCTGCTGCTCTTCGCGCCCGACGCCGACGAGGAGCAGCGCTACCAGGCCTTCCGCGAGGCGCCCGGCCGCCTCAGCGAGCCGGACCAGTTCGTCCTGCAGGTGCCGCGACCACAGTCCCGCCCCGAGGCCTCGGCCGGCTCCATAGGGGCTGTCGCTGTGGCCAGTGCTGCTGGAGTCCCGCGCCCCTTCGAGGGCCGCCACTGCGCCCAGGCCTCTGTGTCCCAGTTTAACATTAACCTTTAATGGCCAGGTCCCATTAGGGGTCCAAGGTACATGGGAGGTGGGCTCCCCCAGGGGTCGTGCTTATTCTTCCTACCGGAATATCGGGCCCAAACATTTAGCAGACCCCCCACCCCAAAGCCTGCAGTGGGGCAGAGGGTCCCAGGAAGGGGATGGGTGACTCCTGGCTCTGCCTTCGAGGCAGATGCTGTCAGTTCCCGAATACAAGACGCGCCTGCGCAGCCTCCACTTCCAGGCCACGCTTCAGGAGAAGACAGAGGAGATCCGTGGCAGCCTTGAATGCTTGCGCCAGGCCTCCCTGGAGCTCAAAAACAGTCGGAAGCTCGCCAAGATCCTGGAGGTCAGGGGGCATACCCTCCCTGGCACCCTATCTGCTTCTCTGCCTCCTGGGGCTTCCAGCATGGAGGCCCATCCAGAGAGCAGGGTGGGTGGGTGGTGGTGGAGGACAGGACCTGCCCACCTTCTCGTCCACAGTTTGTGTTGGCCATGGGCAACTATCTCAACGATGGACAGCCCAAAACCAACAAGACCACTGGCTTCAAGATCAACTTTCTGACAGAGGTGAGGGGGCCTGCCAGCAGCAATTAACTGGTTTGCTCTAGCAGCAAGGCGCTGACGCCAAGCCTAGCTCAGTTGTGGCAGAGGGCAGGAGAGGACATTGTGACCAAGGAGGGCTCTTCTCCTAGCAGGAAAAGGGCTACATTGAAGCCAGGATGTGACTGCAGCAAAGGGTGGGGTGTGGTGGTGTAGGGGAACACACTCCCAGGATTTGGAAAAATGGAGTGAGGGGAAAGAGTTGGAAAGAGAGTGTCAAAGGCTGGGGATTGAGCTGGATGTGGTGGCTCATGCCTGTAATCCCAGCACTTTTGGAGGCCAAGGTGGGAGGATCACTTGAGGCCAGGGGTTGGAGACTAGCCTGGACAACATAGCAAGACCCCAGTTCTACAAAAATAATTGGCCAGGCATGACACATACCTGTAGTCCAAGCTACTTGGGAGACTGAGGTGGAAGGATTGCTTGAGCCTAGGGGTTTGAGGCAGTAGTGAGCTATGATGGAGCCACTGCACTCTGGTCTGGGCAATAGAGCAAGACCCTGCTATTTAAAAAAAGGGGGGAGGGGCAAGAATTGATCACTGATGCCACAGTAGTCCAGGAGAAGCTGGGCCCATGTGACCCCATCTGATGGGGTCCTTGATGGGGATGTATGTTGGGGGTCACTTGCAGCTGAACTCCACCAAGACAGTAGATGGGAAGTCCACTTTCCTGCACATCCTTGCCAAATCGCTGAACCAGCACTTCCCTGAACTCCTGGGCTTTGCTCAGGACCTGCCCACCGTGCCCCTGGCTGCCAAAGGTATGCTGGGTGGGTGGATGAGGCAGAGGCATGCTGTCCTGGGCTGGGAGAGTGGCCCCATGTGGCCTCTGTCCTTTTCCCTACAGTGAACCAACGGGCTCTGACCAGCGACCTGGCCGACCTCCATGGCACTATCAGCGAGATACAGGATGCCTGCGAGAGCATTTCCCCCTCCAGCGAGGACAAGTTTGCAGTGGTCATGTCAGCATCCTCTAAGCAGCCTGTTCCTGCACCAGGCTGGATGGTGGGATGGTTGGGTGGAGCTGGCTATGGCTCCAGTGGCCACTGGAGACCTTGACTTCCTGCAGAGATTCTGGGCACAGGCTGCTGTGCACCCAGGGTTCCTGGAAGAGGCTCCATGCTGGGCTGTTTATTGATTGATTGATTGATTGATTGGGACAGGGCCTCACTCTGTCACCCAGGCTATGCCTGGCTAATTTTTGTATTTTTAGTAGAGACAGGGTTTTGCCATGTTGCCCAGGCTGATCTCAAACTCTTGGGGTCAAGTGATCTGCCTGCCTCAACCTCCCAGAGTGCTGGGATTACAGGCATGAGCCATAACACCGTGTCCCATCCTGGATTATAAATTTATTTTATTTTATTTTATGTATTTATGTATGTATGTATGTATTTATTTTATTTTATTTATTTTTTGAGACAGAGCCTTGCTCTGTTGCCCAGGCTAGAGTGCAGTTGGGCGATCTTGGCTCACTGCAGCCTCCGCCTCCCAGGTTCAAGCTATTCTCTTGCCTCAGCCTCCCAAGTAGCTGGGATTACAGGCACCCACCACCACATCTGGCTTATTTTTGTATTTTTGGTAGAGACATGGGTTCACTGTGTTTTCCAGGTTGGTCTTGAACTCCTGACCTCAGGTGATCCACCTGCCTCAGCCTCTCAGAGTGCTGGGATTACAGGCCTGAGCCACTGCGCTTAGCCCTGGGTCATTTACAATCCCAAGGCATTTATAATGCCAAGTCTGTGCGTAACTGAAGCCAGGGCTCTTTTGAGTGCCCCAAAGCCACTGTCCCATCTGTCCTCTGGGGCACTGTAGCCCAGAGCTAAGTCTCAAAATTACAAGGAGCAGCCTGTCAGGGTGGGACATTCCCACTGAGCCCCCCAGCAGGGCCTGGCCAGTGGGTGACAGAGGCCCAGATAGGAAGACAGGCAAGAAGGGCATGTGGCACTTCTCCCTGCTCCCCATCTCTGGCTCCAACACCCCTTGGCAGGGAACACAGGGTTTTCCCTAAGGCTGAAGCTAGGTAAGGAGGAGAGGTCTGGGGGCTGTGCCTGTGGCCAGGGCAGTAGGTGATGAAAGCGCCTGTCACATATCTCTGACTGCAGCACATGGGGCCTGGTGCGGGTGAGTGTCTGAGTAGGAATTTGATGTCAGATCCACCCCTGCCCCTTCCTCTTAGGCAGAAGATCTGCAGAGAATCATTAAGCAAACTCTACAGCTTGGGCAAGGTGCTTTTCACCATCTCCTTTCACCCACTTCACGCCCAGATTTTTGTTTTGTTTTGAGACGGAGTCTCGCACTGTCGCCCAGGCTGGAGTGCAATGGCGCGATCTCGGCTCACTGCAACCTCCACCTCCCAGGTTAAAGCACTTCCTCTGCCTCAGCCTCCCAAGTAGCTGGGTTTACAGGTGCCCACCACCACACCCGGCTAATTTTTTGAATTTTTTAGTAGACACGGGGTTTCACTATGTTGGTCAGGCTGGTCTCAAACTCCTGACATCGTGATTCACCCGCCTCGGCCTCCCAAAGTGCTGGGATTACAGCCATGAGCCACCGTGCCCAGCCCACCCAGATGTTTTGCAGATGTGAAAACTGAGGCTGTTTAGGTGAGGGTTAGTCCACTCTAGCATCCCTCAGTCTAGGGGTATTGGCCTGCTTCCTTGGGCTTGGAGGTCCCCAGAGACAAGACAGATGGTCACATTCAAGGGTAGCCTCTGGGCCAGGTACAGTGGCTCATGCCTGTAATCCCAGCACTTTGGGAGGTCAAAGCTGAGAGATCACTTGAGGCCAGGAGTTTGAGAACAGCCTGGGCACCATAGCGGGACCCCATCTCTACAAAAGAATTTGAAAATGAGCCTGGCATGGTGGTGCATGCCTGTAGTCCCAGCTACTCAGGAGGCTGGGGCTAGAGGATCACTTGAGCCCAGGAGTTCAAGGTTGCAGTGAGGTATGATCACACCACTGCACTCTAGCCGGGTGACAGAGTGAGACCCTGTCTCAAAAATAAAATGAAGGCAGTCCAGGCACGGTGGCTCATATCTGTAATCCCAACACTTTGGGAGGCCAAGGAAGGCAATTCACCTGAGGTCAGGAGTTCGAGACCAGCCTGGCCAACATGGTGAAACCCTGTCTCTACTAAAAATACAAAAATTAGCCAGGTGTGGTGCCATGTGCCTGTAATCCCAGCTACTTAGAAGGCCGAGGCAGGAGAATCACTTGGACCCAGGAGGCGGAGGTTGCAGAAAGCCAAGATCGTGCCATTGCACTCCAGTCTGGGCAACAGAGCAAGACTCTCTCAAAATTAATTAATTAATTAATTAATCAATTAAAGGCAGCCTCTGCAAAGGAAATTGACCTGGCATATCAGACAGGCATAGGCCCAAATCCTGACTCATTTGCTTACCTGCTGTGGGACTATGGGCAAGTCACTTACCGTCTCTGAGCCCAGTTTTCTCATCAGGAAAAAGAGGGGTCATGAGAACCGCCACCACAGTGGTCATTAATTGATATGACCCTGGTGGGTTCAACCATGGCTCAGGTACCACAGTGCTTGCTGTGTGATCTTGGACTAGTTGCTAAAATCTTCTGTGCTTTAATTTGTTCGCATGTGAAATAGAGATTATCTACCTCATAGAGGTGTTAAATGATGATTCAACAAGCTTGGAACAAAGCTTGGCACCATTTTAAGTGCTGAAAACATGATAGCAATTCAACCACTGAATCTTTTTGCATGTATCAGATGCTATTCTAAGCCCTGGAGGTGCAAGGAGGGAGTGAGCTTTCACTTAGGCGGTAGGAAATGAACTTATGAACAATTTCAGATCATGACAAATGCTCTAGAAAACAGAGTAAGGCCTAAGGCCTGGTGCAGTGGCACACACCTGTAATCCCAGCACTTTGGGAGGCCAAGGTGGGAGGATCACTTGAGCCCAGGAGTTGAGACCACCCTAGACAATATAGACCCTATCTCTATTTTAAAAATCAAAAAATTATCTGGGTGTGATGGTGTGAGCCTCTGGTCCCAGCTACTTGGGAGGCTAAGGTGGGAGGATCACTTGAGCCTGGGAGGTAGACGCTGGAATGACCTGTGAGCTGTGATCACACCACTGCACTCCAGCCTGAGCAACAGAATAAGACCCTGTCTCAAAAAAAAAAAAAAAAAGTAAGGCCTAGAGAGTGACAGAGGGGCCTACTATAAATGGCTGGTTGGGGAAGAAGGTGGCAGTGGAAGCTTCTGATCAGAGACCCAGGGCCTGGCCCTGCAGAGAGAACAGGGGTGAATGGCCTGAGGCCGCACTGGCTGTGGCCAGTTCCTGGATGAGCTTAGTGGCCAGTGAGACTGGAGTCCCTTAACAGAACCCGGTTCCCTGTTGGACACAGGACCTGGCCCTTGGAAGAACTCAGGCCAACCGGGAATAGGGCTGCTAGGGGACCTGTCTGTCTGGGGCCACCACTCGAGACCCTGGGGGCATCAGCGGACTGGCTGTTTCCTTAACTGAGGCCTGTCAGTCCTTCCTGGAGACGGCCCAGCCGGCGCTTCGGGCACTGGACGGGCTGCAGCGCGAGGCCATGGAGGAGCTGGGCAAGGCGCTGGCCTTCTTCGGGGAGGATTCCAAGGCCACCACCTCTGAGGCTTTCTTCGGCATCTTTGCAGAGTTCATGAGCAAATTCGAGGTGAGCCCCGGTGGAGACCTGAGGGGCCCTTTTGGAGAGGTGGGGACCAGAGGCCAAATGAAGGGATCCTCCATGAAGCCAGGGCTGGGAAAGGGGCCCCCGTGAGAGACACATCCCCCTAATCCCCTGGTGGGGCGGGTTGCAGCCTCAGTGCTGGCTGTCTAGTGTGGGAAGAGACAGGGAAGGCATCACAGGTTCCTGGGACCACTGACCACCCCTACCTCTGTGTTCCCCCTCCCCAGCGAGCGCTGAGTGACCTGCAGGCCGGGGAGGGCCCGCGCAGCTCCGGTATGGTTTCACCCCTGGCCTGGTGACAGTGGCCACACCGCATCCTCTGCGGCCTGAGCAGGGAGATGGAGGCCGAGAGGGCAGCCCAGACACTGCTGAGGTCCAGGGCCACTACGCCCTAGGCTCCGAGCACACCGCCAGCCTCTCCTGCAGCTACCTCAGCCGCCGAGCTGTGGCCGGGCCCTCCTCTGCCAACCCTTGTTCCTACCCCCAGCCCTGGAGCCAGATGCCCTAGGAGCGGGTGCTGAGTGTACCTGCGCCTGGAGGACCATGCTCCGTTGGCTTCCTGGGCCCACTTCCCGCCTCGCTCCTGGGCTGTCAGGGACACCCAGAGAGTGGATTACAAAGTGGCCACATTCCTGGGACATGTGGACCTTTTTTCTGATCCTGCTCCTAGCGGGTCCCTGCGAGGAGGCCGACACCCTTGAGCATGACCCTGCAGGTGGGCGCGAGACGGGAGAGGGCGGAAAGCAACGTAAAGGGGCCCTGGGGATGGGCACGCCCAGCCTGGGCCTTGGAAGCTGGCTTCAGAGACACAGGAGAGAGAGGCCTGGGAGAGATGCAGGGAAGGAAGGACTGTAGGAGGAAGACCTCCTATGTCAGGCTGCAGAATTGAGGTTTCATGCAGTAGACAAACCCGAACCTGTGTAGAAGTGGCCCAGTTGGAAGTGGGGAGCCTGGGAGTGGAATAGGCATAGTCAAGGTAGAGCATACAGAATGGGGAGGTGTTGAGGCAGGAGGTGAGCAGGATCTGGTGGCCGACTGCCAGACTTCTCACCTGGACGGATGGTGATGTTCCCTGGAGCAAGTCACGAGACCAGGGCAGGTTTGGGGGCAGATGACACAATCTGGGATGTGTTTGGGACCCAAATGGTTATTTTCCATGTGCCTAGGCATACAGCAGGAGGTACCTGGGTACCAGGAGCAGGAGCAGGTGGCGTGGTGGGCAGGGAGGGAGGGTGTGTGAACTGTTTCACCTTTTTTTAATTATCCGATTGGCAGATCCTTGCATCAGACAGCTTCCCTCATTGCACCTTTCTTTTTTTTTTTTTTTTTGGAAAAGTCTGAAATGGGCTTTAATCCTGTCTCTTGGATTCTTTTTCTCCCACTGCAATCAAATGGCTTGCATTGCACCTGGGCAGTACTGGTGACCTGTTCCATTCTTCCCAGTCTCCCCTAGGCCCCTCTTGGAAGCCATCTTTGCTTTTTTGTTCCTTGCACACAACTACCATACAAAAACGTCAAAACCAAAATATATACTGCAAGGGGGTTGTGGCTAGTGGGATACATTTCTCCCTAGCAGCTCAAGCGGAATTGTTTCCGAAAGTTCCCAGTGCCTGTGTCTCTGGGAAACATGTCAGGAGGTCAGTTAAAACCTCTGCAGTTTGGGCGCGGTGGCTCATGCCCGTAATTCCACCACTTTGGGAGGCCGAGGCAGGCGGATCACCTGAGGTCAGGAGTTCAAGACCAGCCTGGCCGACATAGTGAAGCCCCGTCTCTGCTAAAAATACCAAAAATTAGCCGGGCGTGGTGGCACGCACCTGTATTCCCAGTTACTTGGGAGGCTGAGGCAGAAGAATTGCTTGAATCCAGGGGGCGGGGGTTGCAGTGAGCCAAGATCCTGCCACTGCACTCCAGCCTGAGCGACAGAGTGAGACTCCATCTGAAAAAACAAAACAAAACAAAACACCTTACATGAGTGTAGAAATTATAGACTGCAACAGGCGTGATCTCCAGGCCTGGTTAGCCCACATGGCATTTTCCTGCAAGTTAGAAACACGTGTCCATTCCAGGGGTCCTAACCTCTTGGTTGCACAGTGTGGCAGGCCAAGCACCAGCTGGGTTTCCTCCCTAACATGCCTTGTATTGGTTTTCTGTTTGCTACAACAATAGTGCATAACAAACTGTCCCAAAACTCATTGGCTTCAAACAGCAATCACTTCCTACTCGGAAGTCTCTGGGTCCCAGTTCTGATCTGAGCTAGGCTCTGCATCCTTAGTCAGCTATGAGTCAGTGAAGCAGCTTTGGGAATCAGGCCAGGATATCTTATGTCTAGGGCGTTTGGCTGGAAAAGCTGATAGAGCCCTGTGGGGTCTCTCATTTTGCACCCAAATCGCCAGGATTCTTTTTATGAGGGAACCGGGGGTCAAAGAGCGTGAACAAGCAAAGGCACAGAAGATGGCTTGAGGCTGAGGCTCAGAGCTGGTACACTGTGCCTTCTGCCACAATCTGCTGTCCATCCAAATGACAAGGCCAGCTGATTCTAGGGGAAGGGAAACAGGCTCTGCTGAGAGATGTCGCAAAACCACTCCACACAGGGTGTGGATTCAGGGATAGATGGAGGATCAGGACCACTTTTGCAATTAATCTACTACATACCCTCTTGGCCAGGGGTGCAGATCCCAGCCTCCTTAAAATTCTCAATGGCCTTGGTGCTGCCTGGACCCAGCACAGATCTCGTTCCCCATCCCCATGTACTCACCAGGTGGCATGCTTCTGTCTGTCTTACCTGGTCATCCATGAATTACCTGACCTCTATCCAGACACTTAATCCAGGCCGGGCGCAGTGGCTCATGCCTGTAATCCCAGCACTTTGGGAGGCCGAGGTAGGTGGATCACTTGAGGTCAGGAGTTTGAGACCAGCCTGGCCAATGTGGTGAAACCTTGTCTCTACTGAAAATACAAAAATTAGCCAAGTGTGGTGGCACGTGCCTGTAATCCCAGCTACTTGGGAGGCTGAGGCACAAGAATCACTTGAACTTGGGAGGCAGAGGTTGCAATGTGCCAAGATTGTGCCACTGAACTCCAGCTCTGTTGACAGAGGGAGACTCTGTCTCAAAAAATAATAATAGTAATCGTGCCACTGCACTCCAGCCTGGGCGACAAAGCGAGACTCCGTCTCAAAAATAATAGTAATAATAGTAATACATAAATAAATGAAATAGATACTTAGTCCAGTAGGCAGTGTGGTCTGTGCCTGCCTGGCAACCAGTCTCACCCTTCTGCTGGGAAAAGCTTCTTGTTTCTCCTTTCAGAAATTCTCTCTCCCCTACTCCCAGGGCCTGGAGCTCGAGTAACTGGATAAGGATGATCCTTTGACTCTGGCTGTGTGGCTCAGAGTCAGTCCAGGCCTCCAGCTGGCACTGTTTGAAAAAGAGACTCACTTTGCTCTGGAATTTCTGGGTGTATAGAAGGTAGGAGTCAGGAGGGGCTTCCAACACCACCACATGAAAGTCACCTGCCTGGATATAAAGCTAGTACAGAAGAGAAAAAGAGGGGAGAAGATCACCATATACATCCCACTGTCCCTGGATCTAGCCATACCTGAAGCACACACTGGACCTGTCGGTCTTCAAGCCAACAGATTCTTCCTCCGTTTAAAAGAATTTTAAATGTATTTAAATTCCCTGGCTTAGGCTGGTTTGAATGGTTGCTATTACTTACAACCCTGAAAGGGTTAACTAACAGACCCATTAACAGATGCTGATGGATGTTCAGTAGTCAGTGAGAGCTCTTCCTCCATACACACATTGGCCAATGCTTTTTATATTTTATATATTTAGTATTATTATTTTGAGACAGGGTCTTGTTCTGTTGCCCAGGCTGGAGTACAGTGGCACGATCTTGGCTTACCGCAACCTCTGCCTCAGTTCAAGTGATTCTCCTGCCTCAGCCTCTGGAGTAGCTGGGATTACAGGCACGTGCCACCACGCCTGGCTAATTTTTGTATTTTTAGTAGAGCTGGAGTTTCAACATGTTGGTCAGGCTGGTCTCAAACTGCTGACCTCGTGATCCACCTGCCTCAGCCTCCCAAAGTGCTGGGATTACAGACATGAGCCACCGTGCCAGGCCGGCCAATGCTTTTTAATTGCCTACTACGTGCCAGGTGTATTGCTGGGTACGAACATCTTAGAAGGCAGCCTCTCTGAGTTTGGTTACCTGGGGTTATGTTTTATGGTGGTTCTACCCCAGAGTCCGTGCAAAGCCCTGTATGCGACTCAATATCTGTACCACATCCACCCGGACCCCCTAGTTCCTCACCAGGTGACAAGGTGTGAATGCAGGCACTTATGCCTCAGGAATGCATTTATCTCCAATAATACTAACAAAATAACGTAGCCTAATGATATACCACCTTTCCAGAGAGTGATATCCGTTAATGTTTGTTTGTTAGTGTGCTCAGTGTTTTTACGGATTTCATTTCATTTTACTTTCACAAAAAACCCTCCAAGGTAGATTTCATTATCTCCTTTTTGCAGGTAAAACTCTGAAACTTAGGAAGGTTATGTGACTTGCTGGATCTAAAACCGAATTCTGTCTAAATCCAAAAGCCCCATCCTCTGAGTGAAAATAGCTGATATATATATGCACTCTAAGAGCCACACATGCTGGGGGTTTCAACATAAAGCCCTTACTTCTTTTCTCTCTTCCTGTTCCCTCTATTCGTTTGCTAGGGCTGCTATGATAAAATACCATAGACTGGGCAGCTTAAACGGAAAAAGAAATGTGTTTTCCCACAGTTTTGGGGGTTGGAAGTCCAAGATCAAAGTGTCAGCAGGTTGGGTCTCCCCCAAGGCTGTTCTTGGCTTGCAGACAGGCTTTCTCCCTGTGTCTTCACTTGGTCTTTTCTCCCCAGCACTCCCTGGCATTTCTTTCTCCTTCTCCGTCTCCATCTCCTTCTCCTTTTTCTTCTCCTTTTCCTCCTTCTCCTCCTCCTCCCTCTCCTCCTCCTCCTCCCTGCCACCCTCCCTCCTCCTCCATCCTCCTCCCTCCTCCCTCTCTTCCTCCTCCTCCCTGCCACCCTCCCTCCTCCTCCATCCTCCTCCTTCCTTCTTTCTTCTTCTTCTTTTTTTTTTTTTTTGAGATGGAGTTTCGCTCTGTCGCCCAGGCGGGAGTGCGGTGTCACGATCTCGGCTCACTGCAACCTCCCCCTCCCAGGTTCAAGCGATTCTCCTGCCTCAGCCTCCAGAGTAACTGAGATTACAGGTGCATGCTGCCACGCCTGGCTAATTTTTGTATTTTTAGTAGAGATGGGGTTTCACTATGTTGGCCAGGCTGGTCTCAAACTCCTGACCTCAGGTGATCCGCCTGCCTCAGCCTCCCAAAGTGCTGAGATTACAGGCGTGAGCCACTGCACCCTGCCTCTTTTTTTTTTTTTTTTTTTTTTTTTCCATGAAGACAGGATCTTGCTCTATCACTTAGGCTGGAGTGCAGTGGTACAATCATGGCTCACTGCATGATTGCAGTAAACACCAAGTGATGCAGAGGTATGGAGGATTGTTTGTGGATTCAAGCAATCCTCTCGCCTCAGCCTCCCGAGCAGCTGGAACCACAGGCATGTAACACCATGCTCGACTAATGTTTTTTTTTTTTATTTTGTAGATACGGGGTCTTGCTATATTGTCCAGGCTTCTGCCTCTTTGATTAAGGAAGCCAGTCCTATTGGATTAAGCCTCCTCCCGTGTGGCCTCATTTACCCTTAATTACCTTTCTCCAGATACACTCACATTCTGAGATACTGTGCATTAGGACTTCCACATAATGAATTTGGTGGTGGGGGGAGAGCGGTACAATTCAGTCCAGAACACCATCTTTGCAGGTGCCAGAGATATAATAGTCCCAGTCTCAAGGAGGCCTCAAAGATTTCTGTATGAGTTGACGATGCTTCACAGGGAAAAGATTCTATCAGGCACAGGCTGCACCGTGGCTCATGCCTATAATCCCAGCACTTTGGGAGGCCAAGGTGGGTGGGTCTCTTGAGGTCAGGAGTTTGAGACCAGCCTGGCCAACACAAAGAAATCCCATCTCTACTAAAAATACAAACAATTAGCCAGGCGTGGTGGCGGGGGACTGTAAATCCCAGCTACTCAGGAGACTGAGGCAAGAGAATTGCTTGAACCTAGAGGCAGAGGTTGCAGTGAGCTGAGATCGCGGCGCTGCACTCCAGCCTGGGCGACAGAGCAAGATTCCATCTCAAAAAAGAAAAAAAGAAAAAGAAAAAAAAGGTTTTATCAGACA